ATCAAAAACCGATACACAGAATTATGTATCTTAGTGTAGTCTACTTGTGTGCCAAGTTATATTGAAATCAGATCAAAACTGTAGGAGGAGTAGCATTTTGAAAGAATTTCACAGAAATTTCTATTTTTAGTAACAACGCCAACACCGTTTGTCGAAATCAAAAACCGATACACAGAATTATGTATCTTAGTGTAGTCTACTTGTGTGCCAAGTTATATCAAAATCAGACAAAAACTGTAGGAGGAGTAACATTTTGAAAGAATTTCACAAAAATTTCTATTTTTAGTAACCACGGCAACACCGTTCATCAAAATCTAAAACCGATACACAGATTTATGTATCTTAAAGAAGTCTACTTGTGTGCCAAGTTATATTGAAATCAGATCAAAACTGTAGGAGGAGTAGCATTTTGAAAAATTGTTTACAGACAGACAGACAGACAGACAGACGGACAGACGGACGGACGCCGGACGCATTACTATCGCATAAGCTCTTCTGGTCTCTGACCAGTAGAGCTAAAAATGAACCCATAGCCTGAATGCCACATAATCTTAGTATAGTAACTTATAATGTACAAACAAGATCAAAATAGTACAAGAATCTCACATTTCCAGATGACTTGTGCTGGTTTAAATATCATCTTATTTACAGCAGAAAGGCGTTTCTGTGATAAAATTTATACTTTTATTTATCAGTATAACAAATGAGTCTGGGGATAGACTTTTATCATTGAAACAATGCCTACGTAGGCACCAGAGGTAAGCTTACATATTATACGTTTTAATATTAAGAATAATTTTCATATTACAAGTAAAAAGAGATGAGGCAACTGTCTTTTAACTAATCAAGCCTCTGTATCCTTGTACTTTTCCATTAAATATATTCATGAAAATTAATAACAAGATTCAATTACTGTGAGGATAACAATTTATTAAATCCGATTAAATACCACAGCTAGATTATAAATAATACACAATATCTAACAATAGTAAATATTAAGTTCTATCTTAGTGTAACAGACTGGACATTTTCTCTGACCCCTCTATCTACTGCACGTCATATACCAACAGAACCATCGTGTTGTATCAACACACTCTATTAGGAATGACATGCAGTTGGTAGAGAAACCAGGAAAATGGCTGCCACACCATATGAACAGTCCAAATACCATACAAGGCAACGGTGCTACAAGATATAAAATGGAGGCGTTGTCCATCTCCACCAGTCAAAGCTAAACTGGTACCCAGCCATCAATACATCCCTTGTTAACAAAAAGTCCGAATTGCCTCTTCCTCCTCCCATTTTAACAGGTGTTAAAATGGGTGAGGTCTAGCAATTCAATAGATTATAAACATATTGTTATGTTTTAATTATTTGTTAATATGATAAATAATAAAATTTATAGCACTAATCATAGGTAAAAATAGGGATGTACTTTGTGAATACCCAGACTAACCCAACCGGTGAAGGACATGAAAACAGTCCCATTGCAAATTATCAAAATCTAAACCTCTCCAAGTGTCGCATCTCACCACTGCACTCCAATGTACAATCTTTTAGTATATAATAGTATAATTTAAAAGAAGTTCCACTACACAATAGATAAAAGAATGCACTGTTCCCTTTTCAAACTAGTCCAAGTGCAAAGCGTGTTTTATGTACAGGTAACATATACTATTTAAGCCATTACAGCACTATACAAGTTATTAATCATTACAAACACAAAAGGGGGGCAAAAATTGTTACAGTAAACAGAAAAAAATATTGCAATCTTTACAAACATCACTTATGTGTTAATGCTAGTGATTAGTTACTGACTTGACTTCATGACATTTGTTCAAAAATGATTGTCCAACAAAGGGAGAAAACTTCTGCAGTTTCGTAAAATCAAGTTCTGTAGATCTTATAACTTTAAATTGAAATATTCATAAAAAAAATATTTACAGAAGGGGAGCAGGACTACTTAGACTTGACAAACACAAAAAGCAAGAAAAAGCAGCTAAACTTTCTACTGGTGTCCAATTTTTGGTTACAATATACATCTTAATTACCAACACATATGACATGAAAATCAAAGTTCTGATGTCATTTACATTATAGAGACATCTTCACTTTTTCTATTAAAAAAAAAAACAGTAGCACTTCTGCACTCAATTACAAAAAAAAAGATAAGTTTGACAACTCAGTATTGGGAGGGAAAAAAATCCAGGGTAGAAAACTCATAAGATCAGAAATGTCCATTTTATTTGCAATCTACAAATATATTTATTCCCCTCATTTTTTTTCATAACTCCAGTAAGCATTTCTACTTTTATTAATTTGAGAAAATTTAATCCTTTTAAAAAATTCAAGTAACAGTGTGATGGGAGAGAGGACTGTCAAACTTATAAGATTACAAACACTCAAATTAAAATAGCACAAAATTTAGAGATATGTAAAGTTAAAATCATTTTTATCTTACAGTCTAAGAGAACAGAAAACTTTTCTATAAATATTCCATTTTTTAAACAATACATAGGTAATAAAATAACAATTTATTTTGTTGATTTTTACAAGTCCATATTTATTTTTTACACCAAATCAAGATATGTGTTGGAAGAAATTGCAAAGCACACAATATATATATGTATATAATATAAAGAGAATATGCACCACTTCAACATGAGAATGACATTTTCATACAAAAATAAATATTACCAATTAAGGCAGTAACAGTCTTGGTTTCAATATAAACTTTCTAATCTACCAGCAAGCAGCATTGCTACTTCAATAAAAATCAGTGTTCTTGAGACAAATATCAGCAACTCTAAAATCTAATCACTAAAAACAAGTTCACAGAAAATGTGAACAGAACTTGATTTAAGAGAAATACTTGTACGTTCTTTGACTTTCTGCTGATGCATTGATGTTCAAGTTCCTCAGAATGCCCAGTGGGTCTGTATCTATTTCTGTGCCGGGTGTTGTAAATCCTAGAGGGGTGTGTGGTGTTTGGGGCTCCAGCAGACTGGGATCAATATCGCCCTGGGCCGAGGGCAATCTCCGCCTCAGGACACCAGCATAGGTGGGTTTCTGATCTCCGGATGGCGGACTGCCTGAGGGTGGGGATGAGGAGGCAGACCCTCCCATCACGACCTCCTGCTGTTGTGGGATGTTCAGGTACAGTCGCCCCGACGTGTTTTTATGTGCAGCAAATGACTGGTGGGATAAATTGTTTGACTCTTGATCATCCATGTCGTCGATCATCTTGACCAGGTTTGTGATTTCTGTTGGAGTGGTAATATCTTCACTAAACTGACGACTGAATCCAGTGGCAGAGTGTAAATCCAGTTTTGATGGCTTCTTCTCATTCTTCTCTATCCCCCCTGCCCCGTTCTGCAGTGTGGCACTGCTACTCCTGTTATTAGCCATCATGCTCTGGTAGTGGGAGTTTGTGATCATTCTTTGACTGCTGTGTGATGTCATAGCTTCTAGTTCTTCTCTGATGTACCCTTGTCTTTGAGAAATCACCCTAGCAAGAGGACTCTGTGCTGATGCTCTTCTTTCCTGCAAGTCCAGTTTGGGACTAACAGACTTCAGATAATCATGCTCCAGACTAGCCCTAACTTCTTCACTTGCTTTCTCAGTGGCTGGTGAGTCCCTTCCACCCAGGGGTGTACTAGACCTGGAGTTACTGCTTGTACTCCCTGGCTTGGGATAAAGATGTGCTGGTATGTGCTTCACATTAGGGAGTAACTGAAAATGGCCACCTGCCACAGCTGCAGCAACAGAGTTGGGAGACAGAGCAGGAGACTGGGATCGTGGAGGTCTTTGAGGCCCTGGGGACAGAGAATGACTCCTCTGGGAGTTGGGACTCCTCTCCCCCGGTGATGGAGTGTTCTCAGGAGACACCTGGGAAGCTGCTCGTATGGCAGGACCTATGTACGGACCCGCTGGGTATGGATGTGGATACACTTGAGGTGGAATACCCTGTGCAACATAGGGATACCTTGTATGGGCTTGAGCTAACCTTGGATCCTCAGGTAGGTAGTAATATCCTGGATAAGGCTGGTATGGATAGTACATAGCTGGATAAGGTGCAGGGATTCGAGGAACATACACCATTGGCCTGCTCCTTGAGGAGTGACCTTTCTTGCTTGACCCATGACCCTGAGGTGACTCTGTGTTTCTTGTTATGTCTGGGCTAGCCACTCTTTCGCCATCTGAGCCAGAAGACTTGGCAGGGGATGAAGACTTTGGGGAGGATCCACTCACTGGTACCTGTCTAGGGTAGATAACTCTGGCTGGAACTCGACCTCTCCCTCCCATTCCTCCTCCAACAAAGGGTGACACGTAGGGTCTGTACATAACTGGAGGGTAGTAGCCTTGGTATGGCACAGGTACATACATCTGTAAAATAAAAAATTTAAATATTAATATTTTTATCGTTCTCTTATGAAAATACAGTTGTACCAATTTCCTATCATATTAGCTCACTTAACCTTCTGGCTCAGGTGAGCAAGTAATTTTAGAAATTCTCTGCCAAGATTTGCATCATGAAAATTCTGACAATTTTTTTTCTCTTAGAAACTTGATAAATATAAAACACAATAATGACAGATTCAATCAGTACCTGCTGGTGATATGGAGCCCCTGGGTACATCATTCTCTGGCCCACAAAATATCCCGGGTTGGCTGGATTGTGGCCCCCTGCTCCAGTTGTCATGTGGTTCTGACTGGTCACATGGTACAAACGATTCGGGACAAACTCAGGGGCCAGTGGGTTAAGGACATATGTTTTCCTCAGCTCTGCACTGTTTAACTGAGCCTTCAGGACACTGAATTTCATTCCAAAAAAGCTCTTCTGTTCATTACAAGTCTCTAAAAAGTACTCCCACACTTTCCTGAAAAATGAAATATGTCTCACTTTTAGAAAAATCATAGTGTTTTCTATTAAATGAATTTCGAAAATATGTAAAAGCATTTATATTTACTCATAAACATTTATAAGTGCTTAACCTTTAGTTATTAACCTTAAAATACTTCACTACTCAACTGTAGGTTGACTCAAAGTAGAAACAATAAGACAGTCCTTTAAATTATGACAAATGGTGGTTATATACTTAAACATAAGTACCCTTATGTTCATATGTAAAAGTTTTGCAAATCTTACACAAGTCATTTCATCTTCAATGAGTCATAAAATACTCATTAAACCATCCAAAGTTACCTGCATTTCCCTACAAGACAGAGAGACAGAGGGTCCCCTACAACAACGACGATAGACTGGGCTCGGGTCAGGGCTGTGTTTAGCAGCTTAACGTTAGACAGGAAGCCGTAGTCGTACACATCCTCCTGAGACGAGTCCGAGCTACAGGTGTGTCGAGTCCGAACGGTACTCAAGATTATAGCCCGAAACTGCTTCCCTGAGAATTACAAAGGCAGACATTGTAAAACTATATCACTGAAGAATGGTCTAATCAATTTCTTTTCAAAGACATTTTCAATGTTTTGAGCAATATCATTACTATACTGAAAATTCATAATTCAAACAAACTACTGGTACATGTATTATTTGTAACCAACTTTATTTAATATTTGGGATTTGAAATTAATATTTCCACCAGTTTTGTGAAGGAGGAAACATTCTTCATATGACTAGTATGCAAATAAATGGTTTGCGGCAAGAAAAATTTGTGTGTAAAAGAAGGTATACCGTAGCAAAATCCCAAGATATTCTTCACATGAACAAAAGGTAAGTTCACATTATTTAAATTCAACTTCTTAATTTAAGAGTCAATTACATGTAAACTGACACAATGGGGTTTATTACCTTGTACATTAAACACCCTTTCTACACTGACGTTCATCATTTTTCTTTTCCGCAACTCACATCGAATTCGGAAAACCTAGAAAATAGAATATTAATCAATTCCACATCAAATTAAATAAAGAAATTTCAATGTTTAAAATAAAAATTCCAGGAAAACTTGCAATAGTTTTTTGAATCACTGTTTCTCTTTTGAACACTAAAATGTTGTTCACCTCTAGATTATTCATTTATAAACAATAAATTCATTTATAAATAATTTTCCAACCTGATCAGAATACGGTGCAACTACTCCTATGTTGCCCTCAATCTCGCCCCACTCTGGGGGCCAATTCTTCTGAAGGTCATCCACTCTGTCTACAACTTCATGGACCTTTAATACAAAGAAATTTTAAGAAAAAATTATCATCTACCTGTATGCCACATATTCATTACTTTATTCGTCACGTATTTACATCAAAACATGTGGTCAGAGTAGATAATAATATTTTTTTTATTACAGAGAAATGTCTTACCGTAAATCTGGAAATTTTTACTGTCGATAAATTTTTAGCAAATTTGCGCGTACATTGCATTCGCAAAAATATTTTTCTTAAAAATAAATCAACATGTGAAGAATTTTTTTCTTAACTCGGTGAATAGGCGTCGGTAAGCACTGGTCATTTTTAAAAGAAACCTGTTTACACTAGTCTACTATATAACTACAAGTTAATTACCCCTGCGTGTAAATTGCCCTCATTATATGCAATATCGTCCGATGATTTGATAAGCATTGAGGCAATATGCCCGTTTTTAATTATTTTCATCAAGTAATTTGCCAATAAAGAGAGAATTGTTATTTTATCTAACCGTGTATCAACACGGGCGATAACTCAAACTCAGTGCATTTACTAGAAAGTTCCAAATGTAAACGCGGCGTGTAAATTTTAGGTGAGAAAAAACCAAACGTTGAGAAAATTAGTTATACCGGTATTTTTTCTTCATTTGGATTATACTTCAGGTTAAAAGGCATACACAACCTCTAAAATGTTTGTTATAATTGATTAGGAAATTATTTTCAGTGCAAATCCTTTTGTATTAAATCAAAAAGCGAACATTGGTGGTATTCTAACTAGGCATATTGTTTGAAACATAACCTGATATGAAAATCTTCAGTGATTTTTATTTTTAGCAACAGTGACAATTCGCAAAAATTTGAAGCGTAAAAATTAATCAACAGCTTTTTGACCCAAATTCGCAAAAATAAATCGACGTAAAAATTTCCAGATTTACGGTATATATCTAGCAGTAAGGTACAGCAAAACCTATTTAATCCAACATGCGCTGGTAAACAATTTTGTGTTGAAACAGAGTGTCATACATGCATTACAAAGTGTAAAGAATATGAAAAATAGTATAATGGGAACCAAAAAAAGTCAGAATTCACAGTGAAATGAATTGCACATCTGAGGGATTAGAGAATACTTATAAAATTACCTCAGCAATATTATAAAATCCAGTACAGTTCTCGTGTTGTAAGTCTTCCCCGCGGGTAGAGAAAAACGTCAGCGGGTAGTAGTTAGGATGTGCTGGCTGGTTCCCACTAGATATCAGTTTACCGTCGTAAAACAGGTCGGAGGTGAAGTCTATGATGGCCTCGTGAGATCGGTAGTTCTCACACAACATGATCTTACATGGACAGTCATCTGGGTAGAGTTCATACAGTCTGTCCAACATTGACTTCTGAAAGCCTTGCTGCTTAGCAAAGTCCGAGTACACTTCTGGATTCAACTACAAAACAAAGAGAAAATCTGATTTATTTTTGAGAAATTTAAAAGTCAACTTGACTAATAAATGTATAATAAGCTGCCTTTAACATTTATAATAAATTTGAATTAGAATCAATAAAGTTTTAATGCATCTTTTTTCATATAATGTGCTTACTAAGGGAAGCTACTCTACTTAAGAAATTGAATTGCTGACTTTCGCATACTGGAAACAATACTAAGCAGATTCCAATGCTGAAGTATCTATATACCTGCATATGGTCGCCAGCCAGGATGATTTTGGTGGTCCTGCCAGCAAGAGATAGGGGAATCAAGGTCTCACTTTCCAGAGCCTGTGCTGCTTCATCCACAAAGATATGACTAAAGTACCCTAAAACAGGCAAAAACACCTTAAAATCTACAATTTTCACACATAAGTTATCAAAAACTGTTATATCAATTCTATTACAAATTCTTTAATTATTCCCTATTCCTTCCTTGAGTTCAGTGCCACTAAGTTGAACAGTTTTTTTAAATGAATTAAAGACTGTGTTCACTGACCTTGTGGGAGGTCAAGGTCACATAAATATCGGGCAGTTTTTAGTGTGGTGATGATGATGCGATGTCTGTCCACCTCCTCTCTGGATGGCATCCTGAAGTTACCCTGTGACGCAGACATTTCTAGGAGGCAGTACTGTAAGACCACATCAGGCACCGTTTGTACCCATCGGTGGCGGTAGTAGATACGGAGAGGCACAGCATCCATGTGGCCCTCTTTTACAATGGGGTGAATAAAGTCTTTGATGTATAAATCAGCAGCACTGTCAAAAGTAAGAGATCATTTTAAAGATACATGCATGTCATATCAAAATTCTTGCAGAGCAACCCAAGGTCACTGCAATTCTAATGAGATCAAATTGTTTTGTCAAGGTTAGAGATCAGGAAAAATTGAGACCAATAAAATCACATTGAATAAAGAGCACCACTTGGAAAAATGAACCTATTTACCAATTGAAAATAACCTCCAGAAATTTATGGAGAATACAACAGACAAAATATGATTAAATGAATAACACTGGTTATATTCAGAGGTCTGATTACTTTCATCCACAGGTCATCCACCCAGGTGACTTATTTGCACTGTACATACATGTATACTACTGTTCACCTGACACCAGTGACCTATTTGTACTGTACCACTTGTTATCTGACCCGTTGACCTATTTTCACTGTACCTGTTGGAGTGAGTACAGATCAGGATCCTATTGTTCTCCACCTCCAATGCATGCTTTGCTGCCTGAGCTAGAGTGTATGTCTTGCCTGTCCCCCAGGGTCCTACCAGCAGTAGCGGGGGTAGACACTTATCTCCTGCTGCAGTAATGCCCCTAATCGCTGCCTTCTGTTTCTCATTCAGTCTCTCACTGACTGTCTCACTGAACTCCATGCTAAAATAATGCACTTACATCAATAATGAACTTAGCAATCATCTCTGGAGCAGCTTTAAACATTTGCAGATATTTATTTCTTTAAAACCTTTTCTTAAGACACTAATTAAAGGATATGTATAAAATAAGGCTTATAATTACTATTGCTGATACTGGAAGCTTGATTAAATTTATTTAAATCAATTTATTTAAATCTCATGATTACATAAAATAACACTGTAAAATATTCCTCAAAATTGCAAAATTCTATTTAGGTACAAAACTTACTCTTCAGGGTACCAAGGTGATGTTGGAATCCTTTGGAGCGGGGGAAATACTAGATCTAATGTGGGGAGTTGATCAATGGCTGAATGCATCTCACACATGGGCACTCGATTCAACTGGAACTGTATCTGTTGCAAAGAATAAAACACAACTTTTGAAAATTCATCTTCACAGAAAATTAAACACATATTAAGTTAAATATAATAAAATGTGGAAAGTATACAATGGAAGTGCATTTTTGTAATAAAAAATTCTAATTGTACACTTCATTTCCATATCATTTATTTTTATATTAATACTGTAGATATACATTTTTCTACTATGTACAGTATGCAATCAAAGTATTTTAATAGATATTTAAATTGCATTGAAAACAAAATGACAATCCAAGAACTCTGGGAAATTGCTACCCCTATTCACAAAATAGTGCTTTAACAAATTAATGAACGAATGAAAGAAAGTATGTTTACATTTTATCACACTATCCACACAGAAATTGTCTCCAGAATAACAACATACCTCTGCATGGAACTCCTGATCACAAGTCAAATTAAGCTCTGAGACACACTTCTCCGGAAGCCGTAAAAATATAAAGTTCTTTCCCTTGTCTTCTAGGAGCACCTGATAAACCTAAAATCACAAACTAATATTAGTATTGAATATCAATTAATTTGTAAATTGTAAAATTTGATAAACTGTGGGCCATAACATGTTTGAACATTTGTAGGTGAATTCAATTATTGAGCAAACTTCAAATAAAAAAACTAAGACAAAGTCCTGAATTCCTATATTCAAATTTTGACCTTTTTATTTAGACATTTTGAAATCTACACTACCCCTGATCATCCATGGGCACATATGTTTAGAGCTTTTTTGGCCCAGTGGTTCCCGGCAGAAGTTTTCAAAGATTTTTCTATATATTTCTATGTAAAACTTTGTTCCCCTATAATGGCCCCGCCCTTCCCCCGGGGGTCATGATTCCTACAATTTAGAATTTACACTACCCCAGAATGCTTCCACATAAGCTTCACTTTTTCTGGCCCAGTGGTTCTTGAGAAGAAGATTTTCAAAGATTTTTCCTATATATTTCTATATAAAATTTTGATTCCCCATTGTGGCCCCGCCCTTCCCCCAGGTGTCATTATTTGAACAATTTAGAATCTACATTATACCAGGATGCTTCCACATAAGTTTCAGCTTTTCTGGCCCAGTGGTTCTTGAGAAGAAGATTTTCAAAGATTTTTCCTATATATTTTTATATAAAACTTTGATTCCCCATTGTACCGGGGGTCATTATTTGAACAATTTAGAATCTACATTATATCAGGATGCTTCCTTATAAGAAAAGCTTTTCTGGCCCAGTGGTTCTTGAAGAAGAAAAGATTTTTCCTATATATTTCTATTATTTTTGGCCCCGCCCTTCCCCCGGGGGTCATGATTTGAACAATTTAGAATCCACATTATATCAGGATGCTTCCATATAAGTTTCAGCTTTTCTGGCCCAGTGGTTCTTGAGAAGAAGATTTTCAAAGATTTTTCCTATATATTTCTATATAAAACATATTGTCCTAGCACAGTATCATTTGAACAATTTAGAATCTACACTATACCAGGATGCTTCCATATAATTTGTTGGCCCATTGAGAAGAAGATAGATTTTTCCATATATTTCTATATAAAACTTTGATTCCCCATAATCTTGATATGAACAATTTGAATCTACACTACCCCAGGAAATCACATAAACAATTTACTGCCCAGTGGTTCTTGAGAAGAAGATTTTTTAATGACCCAACACTATTTTTGTCTTTTCTTGATTATCTCCCCTTGCGAGGGGATATGTCCCTTCATTTTAATAATTTAAATTCCCCTTTACCCAATGATGCTTTGTACCAAGTTTGGTCAAAATTGGCCCAGTTTTCGAACGATAGTCGAAAATGTGAAAAGTTTATAGGACAGACGGAAAATAAATGTGCGAAAAGCTCACTTGAGCCTTCGGCTATATTCACGACAAAGTCCTGAATTCCTATATTCAAATTTTTACCTTTTTATTCTGTTTGGAAACCATCTTATCATCAGGGTTGTAGGGGGCCAGCCAGGCTACGTTGGAACTCATCAGAATCAGACGCCCCCCGGCAGAGTCTTCTGACAGCTCATCATCTAACTTCATACGAGCGAACAGTTCCCCTCCCTGGGCGTACTTAGCCCCACTCAGGGCCCCCGGCACCAGCAGAAAACGGTTCACAAGCTGCAGGGAAGTCTTTATGTTGTACCTGGAAAAGAAAAGCTCTACATGAAGAAAAAGCTACATTATTTTTGTTATGATCTTACCACAGACCTTTCCACAAGAGCCTATAGTAAAACATATCCTAGCATAGTATCAGAGACGAACAGTCTTAATTTGTTATTAAGATAATCCAAAAATGAAGTTCATAATCTTGATATGTTTGAAGACTACAAGAAATCAAAAACAATTCACTGCATCTAAGAAATCATTATGTGTGTTAACTAGGGATGTCAAAATATTAATTTTCCTTAGTCGAACATTCGATTGCATTATTCGAACGATAGGCGACTATTCGGAGCATTTTTTTTATAGCACAGTGTCTTATGAAAGCTTATTAATTAAAATAAATTGGAAAATTGAAAAAAAAAATGGAAATGGGGAATCGTAAACACACACTATCCACATCTCCGATGAAAATGTTAAATACTATTTGTTCATTAATGATTGGCCAAGCTATATATCAAAATGTCTTTTATGTAAGATTATTGTGTTAATAATCATCGAACTTTAAAACTTCACGGCTATGCAAATACTGTATTGTGTGTTCCCAAGCATTTGAAATTCCTAGAGTTTATAAATACAAGAGGCCCAGGGGCCACATGTGAGCACATTTGTCACCTCCAGGCATTCATCATTTGAACAAACATATTCCATATAAATATCACTAATCATAGCTTTGAAGTACTTGAAAAGAAGATTTTAAAAGGTTTCCCTAGAAACTACCTGAGGATGATTCAATATAAATATCACAAATCATAGCTTTGAAGTTTTGGTTTTAAAAAGATATCCCTATTCAAAAACTATATCGAACTTACTTGGCCCCAAGATGGGGGATCATTTGAACAAACTTGAATCTACATTAACACATTTTTCCTGGCCCAGTGGTTCTTGAGATGGACTTTTAAAGATATTTCCTATATATTCCTATGTAAAATGGTGTTGTGTATTGTCCCAACTTATGTAATTTAAAGCTAGCACTACCTGAGGAAGTGACTCCACATGAAGTTTTGAGAAGAAGATTTTTAAAGATTTTTCCTATATATTCCTATGCAAAACTTAGGTTGGCCTTGTTTTAATTGAACAAATTGAATCAATTACTTATTAAATTATTTTATATAAACCTAGACCCTATTGTTTGTGGAATAAAGACAAGGGAGGTAACTTTTATTATATATCTTTCCTGGCCCAGTGGTTCTTGAGAAGAAGATTTTTAAAGATATTTCCTATATATTCCTATGTAAAACAGATGATTTTGGCCCCAGAAAATTTGAATAAACTTGAATCACACTACCTGAGGATGATTCCACAATCATCTTTCCTGGCCCAGTGGTTCTTAAGAAGAAGATTTTTAAAGATTTTTCCTATATATTCCTATGCAAAACTTTATAGCACAGTGTCATATGAACAAACTTGAATCTACATTAAACATAAAGTGGAAAAGATTTTTAAAGAATATATTCCTATGCAAAACTTGGGTTGGCCATTTTGGCCCCACCCTTCAGGGGTCATGATTTGAACAAACTTGAATCTACACACACTGATTCCACATGACATCTTTCCTGGCCTATGGAGAAGAAGATTTTCAAGATTTTTCCTATATATTCCTATGTAAAATGATTGGCCCCAAGCTATATATGAACAAAATTGAATCTACACTTTTATGCTTCCACATGAGTTTCATCTTTCCTGTGTTGAGAAGAAGATTTTTTAAAAATGCCATTAATTTTTAACAAATTCATGATTATCTCCCCTTGGAAAAGGGCGTGGCTATGAACAAATATCCCCTTCACCCAAGGATACTTTGTGTGTGTTGGCCCAGTGGCATGAAAATTGAAAATTCAACGACAATGACAACAACGACGACAGACAACGGACAAATTTTGATCAGAAAAGCTCACTTGAGCCTTCGGCTCAGGTGAGCTAATAACTGGTACAAGTCAATTAAATAATTTTTTTCATAGTCCAGTATATAGCGCCGCATAATTTACCAGGTACAATAACAAAAAAAGTCAGTGATTGAGAAATAATTATCGCGGTATGTAATTACTGTATTTTCCATATGTACAATGTAGAAAATTATTTATTTACTGTGACTGTGTTTGAGCTCTTATTCGTCTGAGGACATACACTATACAGCTGTATAGTTTGGGGAAGGACCCTTTTTCAATTTTGGGATGAAAATTTCATTATCACCACCCTTTTCTTGCATTTATTTAATATTCGAATGTTGTTTCATTATTCGATCGTCGGTATATTCGACTGACAGTCGAATAGTCGACTATTCGTTGACATCCCTAGTGTTAACCATATTTTACTGCACTTATAAATTAAATGTACATTTAAGACCTCCTACCTAGAGATGTGGTCCATCTGAGCCCATTCCTCGATATAAAGCATCTCATGCATCCAGATTCTGTAGGTTTCTTTTGAGGGTGGGTGCATCAGATGCTCTGACAGACGAAACTTGTCTGCCTCCGGCAAACTGTACTTAGATAAAAGTTGTTTTTCTTCCTCTGTTTCTGGTACTGGCCTGAATAGAATAAAATTTTAAAACAGTTACTACAGTTTATCTTCATTGTAGGTCATGTAACTTTCCTTCGATTATTGATTTTGTTCATAATATAAAAAAAATTCATAAATTTAAATCACTATTAATTTATAGTATGTTTAGACTTCCTGCAGTTTCCTGTACTTACTTATTTTCAAACCGTACAAGATCTACACTCTCCACTTTCCAGCGCCCCTGTTCACTGAGCACCAGGTCCTTGCTGAGTTTTTCTATGTCTGTAATGGGTGCTGACTCGATCTGCATCTCTCTGCTGAGAACCGGCTCCAATCCAAAATCATAAACCAGGGTCTGTCGGAAAGTCCCATAAATGTCTGTCTTGAAAACAACCTAGAACATCAAGAAAAAGACATGATTAAATGGATTGATGGATTTTCTAGTGAAATTTGTGTCACTCACAAGGCTCATTATAGTATTTAAAATACAATAGGAATGTTCTTGTATGGGTGCTTTTTTCATATTTTTATATATGTGCATATACAGTAAAATATATGAGTTTATGTTTGTTTCTACGAATGCTTCAAAAAAATTGCTTCCAAAAAGTGCATTACACTGTTTAAACATACAAGTACACATTATTATCATAAGCATTATCAAAGGTCACTATATTATTGTAAAATCTCATATTATTTCTGAACATCAATGCCAAACCAACAGTATAACAATATAGAATACATCTAGTTCATTTAAGGTCATCTTCAGTGTATTTGCTGTAGAACCTTTGAATAATTTGCAAACTTTTAAGAAGGTCTTGTATAACTGACCTTGACCCTGTAGACGTATTCCCCTGTATGGCGTGTGGTGTAGTCGGGGTTGACCCATTCCTGGCAGTGGGTCTCCAGGTTCTGGTATTTCTGGGTCTTCTTTGGTCCCACGGATATACTGGCGATGTAGAAGTAGGTCCGGTTAGTGTCGTCAAGGAGGGTCACTCGGTGCAGGCTTCTCTGTAAGATAGGAAAATCAAAATACATTGAAACAAGATTCTCAGATAAGCCGGGGGCATATGTACTTTTGTATCTTGTATCCTTTAATATAAGCATAGAGAGAAGTAATACTTTCTTAAACTGTTAAAATTTGCAGGATATATGACCATTCCATAAACAAGAAGTTAAGAGAGGTCATAAATTCTCTTTGCTCTTAAAAACAAACTTTGCATTGAATATGATAGTTTTAATGCAACAAACATCGATAAAAATTCAAAAAAAGTTCACTTTATTTTTTTCTTAGCATTGCTGTGTACATGCGCCATACTTATAAATAGACCTTTCCATGATGAACTCCTGTTTTTTTATTTACTGACCTTGCTGGTGATGGTGAAGGTCCAAGCATTTGTACATTTCTTTGTGGTCATATTTACTTTCAGTTCTGAATTCACATGGACTTTAGCATACTCAACATTTTGTATCATCTGTCAAACAGAATACAAATTATCATAGTATACACAGCTAGGTTAAATGAATTATGAAGAGTAGAGAAGACAATTTCACTTTTAAAATGCTTTCAGATTGTATGTAATTAAATACTTAGTCAAGTAGATATTTATATACATGATTTGTTTTTCAAGAGTTTGTTTGCATACTATACTAACCACAGACTTAGAATTTTCAGCATTGACCAGTTTTTCCATCAGCTGTTCCGCGTACGTGTTGCCGTGGAGATGTTTGTCACGGGCACGCTTGATTTGCTGTGTCCGGAACTTGAAGCGTTCCTTCCATTCCTGAAGCTCTTCCTTTGAGTGTGCCTGAGTACATTTGTCCCCAAACGTGCACTTTCTGGTTTCTTCATAACTAGAAAAGTAAAAGGATCATTATTCTAATGAAAGCATATAAACAACTTGCTATATTTTTAAGATTTCAATAATTGGAAAATATTTATATTTCTGCAAATCATACCAGTAAATATAAATTAATCTATCAATAGATTAAATGCATTCTACACTTCCAAGTCCATTCCATATCATTTTATATATATGTCATCAAATTTATAAACAGGCAATCATGCTAAATTGCATTATACATCATTAATTTACATATCTTAACATTAACACACAGCAGTTTAGATGTACCTACATGTATCCTTATCATGTATATGAGAAAGTTTGGCTTTAAAACCAAAATTTTAAAGACAGTAAATGAAAGATGTTTGCAACTTCAAAAGCAAATTAAAATCCTCAAATCTACTTTTCTATTTGACCTTGAACCTCTTTGTATGACCATGTCAACTATGACCTTTTTTTCAAATGATGAAGTCTCTGGAATAAAGTTTAAGCCAATGTATAAGAAGCAGATAGACAAACAAACTAAGAGATCATAACCTGTCAAAATACTTGGAAACAGTGGCATAGAACAGAAAATTATACAAATCTCACTGAAAAATGTCCAATAAAAAAATCCTGTATAATTTATAAACAAATTGAGCTACTTACAACATCAACAAAATGATAATGATGAGGATTAGAAAATGACCAATTTCTATAACCCTAGGGTTGTCATTTTTTGTCACTCACAAACACTGCTGTTATTGTCAGCAAAGTAGTCTATCACATGTTCAATTTCAATTTATGTACCTGATTTACAAGATTCATTCAATGTAAATGATTACTGAGGTGTATATGAGTGACAATTCTAAAAAAAATCTCCCCCTCTTTCTCTTTCTTTCTCTCATAAAACAAATTATACAAAAAATCAAAAAGTAATCAGTAAAATTGTAACAAATTAAATAAAAATTGCATTCTATATGTAAAAAAAAAAAAAATTCAAATTCATGAAAAAAAACAACTAAAGAAAACAAAAAATAAATGGACCATCTCACCTAAGAACGGAGTCTGACAACAGCTAAAAACATGCAATAACATGCTTAAAAATAGTGACACTGGTTTGTTTGTTAGTAAAACTTATAATAGGATATTTAGCTCACCGATTCGAGTCAGCGTCTAAAACACTATAAGCCAGCTAAAATCAAACAACTACCACTACACAACTACAGTGTTCTGTTATACAATAACAGGGTCAATTTGGTCTAAGATTGAAAGTCTAAAAAATACATGTATATCTTGATCCTCCACAGTAGATAGAATTTGTAATTTCACCATGAATAAAGTACGTTTTGGACAGATGGTCACTTTCATTAATGAACATACCCAGTAACTAAAAATTTGTCTGATATTCCCGACTATGCCTAAATGAAACAAAATAATAGAATGAAAACAAAAAATAGATTCAGATCTAGATGATGGGAAACTAAAGAATTATATACTGGGTAATTGAAAGAAAAATTATCTAATTGACGGAAAAAGGAGTATAATTTCAGATATCAAAATGATATACTGATGTAGGAAAATAAATGTGTACATCAATATTATAATGGTTAACACTGTAGATTTCGACAACTTGGCTCCTTACCTGCGACAAATGGTGAATTCCTCACTGGTCAGATTTCTGGGCGGAACTCGATATTTCCAGTTCTGATCTTCGTCCGACGTGATTCGTTTTTTGTGTAGGTCGCTCCGACAGTGGGTCTCGAGCTCGCTGGCAGATACGAACTTGATGTCACAAAACGTGCAGCTAAAATCTTCATCGTCTGAAAGAAGTTTGATAGAAAGAACTTAAGTTTCTCTTGAAGAATCTTCTCAAACAACTAACTCAGTGAACTAAATCGTAGTAAGCTGTGATAAATTTAGATAGAAGTATCTGTTCTTTTAAGACTTTGGGGATTTTGAAATTGAATTGTCACCTTTGGATTTTTTTACCATTTCAACAAATTCACTTTAAGAGGATTTTGTGTGGTCAAAATGAGTGAATGTTAAGTTATCAGTACCAATCTAAACATTTATATGAGTTTGGTGTCTTTTTTTTTTTTACCCTTTTCATCATTCAGAGCACATGCTCCTTCGTTCTCTGACTTCTGTGTGGGTGGTGCTGGGGGTGCCGGTAGAGTGGGTGTAGGTTCTGTCTGGGTGGGGTTTGTGGGGGGAGTGGGTGCTTTGGGAGGGGGGCTGTCATCTCCCTCCTCATCCTCTTCTTCTTCTGAATCCTATCAGTAAGAGTGTGAGAAAAATTAAAGAATATCATGAAAACAGAAAAAGAATATTGCATAAAAGAAAACTTACCATCAAGAAAAAAGAAAATTTGTACAAAGATAATGAAATTAATATGAGACATGGTGTAAATTATAAAACATGTGAGCAAATGTGCACATCTATTCTGATTGATATAAGCACAAACACAAATTACTTATGCTTTTTTCAAAACTGTAACAACTTAGTTAGCACACATACATTCATTTAATTTCATTTAAATTCATTTAGAGAAATAAAATTAATTTTAAAATTTGACATTTCACTTGCTTAACTAAAGTACCAGGTGGCACCAAAAATTAACTCCGACAATGAATTTGTTATTCAATTTCCATCACACACATTCAATGTAGTGACACTGTCATTTTGTTTTCCTACCTGATCGCGTAAAACTTGAATGACCTTCTTTAATTTCTTAAATTCTTTAGCGGCCACAGCACTCTGCAAAATAACAAGATTGACATCTGAAACAACATTTTCAACAATAACAACATTTATAATGTCAAAATGTTCACCATATAATAAAGGAAACTTCTCTTACTCTGAAAAATCTTTTTGACATTTCATTCACAAAGAATGACCTTATGACAAAATAATCTTTAAAACATTTCAGTTTTTCCTCCTCTCCTTCATCTTTTTAAGTTTTACATGAAATTTACTTCCTTTAAATATAATGACAAGACAATATCAAAAGAGCATAACAGTTTGAAACAGGGTAAAAAATAAATGTAAAAACCATAACTTGAGGAAAAGGGGAAATTTTATCTTAAAAATTCTATTATTTCATGATCATACAAAAAGTCAAAGTAGCGCACTACATCTTCCTCTTGCAAAAACAATATCTATACTCAAAAACCACCTCCCATTATAAAATCAATCACTGAATTTCAAACCTGTGGTTCAACTTCCTTCCAGATCTTGGCCAGGTCAAATGCCTCTTCAAACTTTCCCTGATGACACAGGATTTTGATCTTCTTTTCTTGTAATTTTTCATTGTTTCTGTATTTAGCTAAGGCTGAAAAAATAGAAAGAACATTCCCTTTACTTTCAAGTTATAAATAACACACATGAACCTTTGCAATCTAAAAATAATTTTTATATTTAGACATACATGCGTGTACTTTTGCGAGATATTGTTTTTAAAATGAAGAAGAAATTGGTCGACTATGGGTTTGGCGCCTCTAGGGTATCCAGGCCGATAAGATTTCTCAATTATTTATTTGCAGGAAGACTAAAAATGGCACTGAACTTGGTACAAAAGGAAGTGTCTATATTCTGCATCACTTACTAGTTCTAAATATACAATCAGGACTTATGATTATTAATTCATAAAAAAGAATCAATAGTGTTAAATTGAATGATAAAAGGTTCATACACACGTTTCATTATCTTAACTGTTTCAGAAATCAACCTACATTGATCTTTGACTTTTTACGAATCACAATTGTCAAAAATTAGAATCTTAAAATACAAAATTAACTTTTGACCAAAATTAGCTTATGCTAGTTTTGTATATCTGGTATAAGCAAAGAAGACAGACCTCAGATGTTGTCATGTGTGTATAAAAATCAATAAGTACCTACATGTATATACAGAAACATCATTAATTGATTATGAAGTTTATTGAACCTTTGGAACAAATGGAAAAATTAAGAAGCAGAAAGGTAGTTGACCTGACTTAAACAACAGACAAACTCTTAAAGACATTATTACTATTAAACGTTATTTGTGTAGATCAATTATATGTTGAAATATACTGTACAAGAGAGCATTCTCTGCAAACACATTCAATTTGGATATCCCATATAAAAACATGAAACTTGTTCTCTGAGAACGTCTCAAAAATCATATGAAAATATCAAATTGGCAAAACAATGCATTGATTTTTGCAGCTTCAGGCTGAATTTTATCGATTTTTCAATTACGCCATTGTTGGGAGTACTTTAATGGCAGTGCTAAACTGCAGTTAACTTCGTACTTTGTACACTAGCTGCTTCAAATCTGCAAACCCCAGCACAAAAAAATTGTGACCCTCAAATTATCCAATATACCCATTGTTACCCACTGATTTAGGATATTTGTTGGAATAAGGAAGATTATAAAAAAGGAAAAACAGTCACTTTCAAAAGAAGTTTAAACAAATGGAAACAAAAAAATATAATTGACATTTAAAGTGAATGGCATTGTCATGTCAATCAAAATAAAAAATTTTATAGACCAACATCAAATAGTACATTTTTCTCTTCGATTTCCATCTACAAAAAACTTCTTTCAAGAAAAAAAAGGACTTAAAAAATATCCTTACTGTCATTATCAAAATCATTTTCCATTTATAAGAGCTTTCAGTTTACAAAGAGATCCAAAACTTGAAAGAATCTCTTTTCAAGCTGGAAAAATGCATTTAAAGAGACATCGTCAAAATCCCCATTTTCCAAACAGGCTATCATTGAAATTTCTGATAACACATGTGCATGCCAAAGTATTGCTTCCTTCCTTTTCAAACAATACTGGACAACCTTACATTAAGTATATTCAATACATGTAAAAGGGAGCTTCCTGCTTTAAAAATACATACAACGACATCTTGCTTCATTATAAGAATGATACCTCCTCAAATGTAAACAAATAAAAATCTTTTTACAAAATCTGCACAATTCAAGTTTGCAAAGCATACCTACTGGTATGTCAAAGGTGTGAAATTGTTAATTTCATTGCAGATTTTCTCCCGAGATATATTTTTTTTATTTTGATCTCCAAAATTTGATTTATGATATATCAAGATTGAAAATCCCAATACATAAACAGGTCTGGACGATTTCTAAATAAGGAAGTCAAGAACGATAACCGAAAGTTGCTATAAATGTACATCAAGTACACGTAATTATTTTTCTATCCAATCAGACAACAGCATTTTTACTCACCCCAAAAACACATTTTATAAGAACAAAAAGATAACACGTGCTTTTGTTTTTTTCCCCAAAAAGATTTTTTTAACAAAAAATCTGTAGAAGTAAGATGAAAACTTTTAAAGAATAAGGTATTCCCCACATTTTAACCGTGAACAACCTTGACATTTTTATCTCTGTAGAGAAAAAAAAATAATGCGCGATAGAATGTAATCGTTTACAGAGGTAAAGATCGCACCAACAAGTTTTTATCAAGTTTAATTATAACATTTACCAGAATATATTATATGATGTTAAATATAATTTTGCTTAGCCGTTGGATTTTCATTGATAATGCTTAAATTCCATGTGTATAGATCAACTCACACAAATGTTTATCGTATGGACTATACATATAGTTTTAGATTATCACGGGTTTCATGAGCGCCGAATACTTAGCTATGCAGACTTTAAATGTGCATAAAGAAAGGCGTATAACTGTTAGTAATTATTAAATGAATGCGTTTTATCCCAATATCTTACCTCGCATTCAGAAACTGCAAGGACTATTCTGTAATAAACATTCAAAAATAATAAAGACTGATATCTTTTCGATAAGATTTTTATGTCAGGCTCTAAAAACTGAAAATTTACCGTATTCATATCAAATTTTTAACGTAAGTAAAAGTTTTGGCATTGCTACTTCCTAGAGACAGATTTCTTTATCCCACTTAAAACGTTAACTAAGCTTTCAAGTCGTGTTTGTTCACGGTAGAATTGTCATAAATATTATATTATTCCCTAATACGCATAAAGTTTTCAAAAAGTTTTTTCTAAAAAAATCTTTTGAGCAGATAACTTAAAAACCACGTGTTTTATTTATTTTTCTCATGGGTTTGTCTAAATGCTGTTATCTGATTGGCCAGAAGGATTAGTGCCTTGTTTATTCCGTGTATTAATAGCAATTCATGGTTATCTTTCTTGACTTCCTTATTTAGAAATCGTCCAGACCTGATAAATGGCCTTATTGATAGAATTGATTTCCAATATCAAATTAGGAACAAAATAATAAATAAATATAAATATATCAGACGTGCCGTTCCCCATACGATGTGATAACCAGAAGTCTCTGTCGAGACTGAAGCTCTACTGGTTTGTACTTATAGCAAAGGAAGAGAAAAGTACTTAAGCAGTTGGAAATTGAAACTTTTCAACAGCAATAAATAGAATAATGATCCTTGATTAAGTCTCTTTATGTTCTTAGTGCAGTCTACTTGCATGCCACATTTATATTGTAATCAGACTAAAACTGTAGAAGGAGTAGCATTTTGAAAGAATTTCACAGAAATTTCTATTTTTAGTAACCACGGCAACACCGTTCATCGAAATCAAAAAACGATATAGAGAATTATGTATCTTAGTGTAGTCTACTTGTGTGCCAAGTTATATTGAAATCAGACTAAAACTGTAGAAGGAGTAGCATTTTGAAAGAATTTCACAGAAATTTCTATTTTTAGTAACCACGGCAACACCGTTCATCGAAATCAAAAAACGATATAGAGAATTATGTATCTTAGTGTAGTCTACTTGTGTGCCAAGTTATATTGAAATCAGACTAAAACTGTAGAAGGAGTAGCATTTTGAAAGAATTTCACAGAAATTTCTATTTTTAGTAACCACGGCAACACCGTTCATCGAAATCAAAAACTGATATACAGAATTGTGTATCTTAGTGTAGTTTACTCGTGTGCCAAGTTATATTGAAATCAGACTAAAACTGTAGAAGGAGTAGCATTTTGAAAGAATTTCACAGAAATTTCTATTTTTAGTAACCACGGCAACACCGTTCATCGAAATCAAAAACCGATATACAGAATTATGTATCTTAGTGTAGTCTACTTGTGTGCCAAGTTATATTGAAATCAGACTAAAACTGTAGAAGGAGTAGCATTTTGAACGAATTTCACAGAAATTTCTATTTTTAGTAACCACGGCAACACCGTTCATCGAAATCAAAAACTGATATACAGAATTATGTATCTTATTGTAGTCTACTTGTGTGCCAAGTTATATTGAAATCAGACTAAAACTGTAGAAGGAGTAGCATTTTGAAAGAATTTCACAGAAATTTCTATTTTTAGTAACCACGGCAACACCATTCATCGAAATCAAAAACCGATATATAGAATTGTGTATCTTAGTGTAGTCTACTTGTGTGCCAAGTTATATTGAAATCAGAATAAAACTGTAGGAGAAGTAGCATTTTGAAAGAATTTCACAGAAATTTCTATTTTTAGTAACCACGGCAACACCGTTCATCGAAATCAAAAACCGATATACAGAATTATGTATCTTAGTGTAGTCTACTTGTGTGCCAAGTTATATTGAAATCAGACCAAAACTGTAGGAGGAGTAGCATTTTGAAAAATTGTTTACAGACAGACAGACGGACAGACAGACAGACAGACAGACAGACGGACGGACGATGGACGCATTACTATTGCATAAGCTCTTCTGGTCTCTGACCAGTAGAGCTAAAAAGGATAAAATTCCAAATATCACCCTATTACTAGTTATCATTAAAAATTAAGTCAAGGTAACATATCAATATAATGGGAGTTTTTCCCAGCTAGCTTTTGAGACAGAACAAACTGTCACATGTCTTGGTTACGGCTTGACAGCAGTTGGTTTTTCCTACTGGAACATGCCAAGATGAGCACGTAAAAGATGCTTCTTTTATCAACACTCAGAAAAGAGATAATTGGACGGTAGACTTTTAAAATTTTGTTTGCCTCAACTTTCCTTTAGACCTTTAATTGTTATCAATTCAAGGTCTCTGAATTCTACACTGGTTTAACTGTTGTTTTACATAGTCTACCCCATGAATACCCAGTAGCACCCCCTCCCACCCCCACCCCCAATAACACCCCATCTTACTATCCCACACCACAAAACAAATCAGATAATATCATGATTGGTTAAATATGACTTAGAAAATCAGCCAATAGGCTAATTGCCTGTCAAAAATAAATCTTGAAGAGGCCATGATTTTCCTCATTCACACCAAGTTTAAAAATCTCTCTATATAAATAGCATATATAAACATGTATATTTAGTAAAAGATATCTATTGACATATGTTGAAGCACAAGAAAATAACCTGATCTACGAAACATACTCCAAATGTGACTGTGTTTTACAAAATGAAAAATTAAATGCATTTTTCCATTATAAACTCACTTAGATTTAATGAAAACTTCCAGTTCAGCTTTATGTTGCAACATAAATTATTATACCTCGTACTTGGTTGAATCGCTCAACAAATTCTAAAAGTTCAATGATACAAATATAGATCATCAAACTTACCAGTGTTTGTGTGTTCTAAAGCATCTTGAAAGTTTTTCTGAAAATACAAATAAATATTTCATTTTTAATAATCTGAGAACTGAAATATAAGCTATTTATAAGAAAGAAATTTTAAATATATAAGGATATACCATAATTTAACTTAACACGGCTAGACTACCAAGGGACTTACAAATGTCCTTGGGTTTTTATACTGGAATTTCTTAGAGCAGTCCACCTGCAAACCCTACTCTTGTTAGAAACATTTTTATTCAGAAATTTGACACTTGTATGTGCTTTAAAAACATTTTCAAAAATACCATTACAGTCAAATAAATTCTCTTTAGCCATAGGTAATTTTGTGGAACTGGGTAAATTTGCCTGGGTGTTTTGAGAGATGACGTCAAAAAGTGAAGTTAATTCACAGAAAACAAAACACACAACAGATACAAAACACTTTCCCAGCAGTACATGTATAGCTCACTTGATCCTATGGCTCAGGTGAGCTAAAAACCCAACATTTTGGCTGAGGCAAAATCACTTTACCAGGGTATATTCAACAGGATGATATAAAAGTATCATAAAACTAAGTCTAAATGTATTTAATATATATACAGTAAAACTCGTTTAGTACGAACACGGATATTGCGAATTCACGGATATAGCGAAGTTTTTCTGGGTCCCCGGCAAAATTCTTAACAAATCTTTGTAAAATTTTACGGTTATAACGAACTCTAATAGAACGAATTTACGGATAAAGCGAACTGATTTTGAGTCACGTTGACGTAAAATATAATGAAATTTACATCTTTTATAACGAACCTTCAAAGATTATAAAATAGGATAAATTGAACTTACTCTATATCCTTTTAGCATTTGTATATAAAATTAAATTCATAAGGAAAACCTTAGATATCGAAGATATGTCTTGTAATATTTGCTTCACTAACATAGTTGGTAGTAATACTTGAAGAAAAACACGCATAGTGCGAATTCGCTATAATGGTTATACAAATTCGTTATACAGATATAACGAATTACGGATATAGCGAATTAAATTCACAGGTCCCCAGGACTTCGCTGTAACCATGATAACCGAGTTTTACTGTATAATACATGTTAACAAAATAGTGACCCATGAAATCCCCAAACATAATTGGTCTCCCATGAACTCTAATGATTTTCACATTTTCATTGTATACATGCACCCATACATTGATGAAATATCTACTAAAACAAGATATTTGTGAAACACTTATGCCCCCTTCAAATAATTGTAATTTTTCTAAGTCCAACGGGCATAACTCTGTCAGAACAAAATTTGACCCAGATATTCTTAATCTTATGATAAATCTTTATACCAATTAAATTTCCTTTCAGCATATGCAACCTCTGCAAAGAAAATAAACAGAAACTTGGTGGACAGACAGACATATCGACCGACCGACAGCAGCAAAGCAATGACCCTCCCTTCTTCGAGGTTAAACTTAAATTATGGTTTAACTTTTATGGTTTAACTTACGTCATTTAACAACATATCTAGAAAGTAGAAAGTTACCTCTTTGACTAAACTGTTGATTAGCGTCAGTACGTGGTCTATACTTGCTGGCTGGTCATGCCTTTGTGTGTCTGACGGTATATCTTTATCCATCCTCCATCACTTGTAATATCATCGGCAATCCAATTAGGGACGCTGAAATGCAGACAACATACAATAAACCTTATTTGTACAAAAACTTGGTTAATACACTGATTTCTGGGTTTTTACAAGGTAACATCCATACACAATGTTTTTCACAATTAATAAATACTCGTTTAAGATGCATCATTCCCAATAGTGATGAAGATGTATTTTAATGTGGTTTATATTCCTTTCTGATGGAGAAAACAGGATAAAGGCTACTAAATCACTTTGTCTCAATTTCCAAAAAAATTGACCCTGAATTGCTTTGATTTTAGCAATCAGTTGTCTTGGAGAGCAATAAATTTATGTCTCGCTCACATTTTAGATCATAGTAATACATGTAGTACTAATGAAAATTTACAGTATATGCTAAGAAAGTTATCCAAAACAGAATCAATGCATTGATCACAAAATGTATTTTCAAAATAATGCCTTTGGTTTCACATGCAGCATTTTAAAAAGTATTTTCAGTTTGACATTTTTAAGTACTGGTCAGGAAGAAATGTCAAAAAAATGTGACCTGAATGGCTATCAAAAGAAGGATTACAAAACATTTATGCCATATGCATTTAACAATTACATGTAATACATATGAAATATTGCTATATGTTTTAAAGAATCATGATAATTATGTACAGTACATACAGCATTATGATTTATAAAGTTTTATGTGCTTCTTTTATCTCTTTTTTTCTAACCATGCAGCAGCAGCGATTGGTCATAAATCATAATTGAAAATTAACCAGCTGATTTTGAATTAAACAGGCATACTTACAAGGAAAAAGAAACACTTAAATTAACTTCAGTAATCAGACTTTTAGTATTCCTAAAAGCTTTTTAAATTTTTTTTTTTTTTTTTAGTATATAGAGGATTTTCAAAAATAAAACAGGCAGTATTTTCCATTACAATTGTCACTCTTATTGTATATCTAGAGGAACAAAGAAATGAAAACAACGGAAATCGGAAAATATCAATTGCTTGTCAACTCTGTCACGATATTTGACCATCCTCTCTCATCCTTGTATTCTTACGCCCCCTCCAATAAATGACATCATAGAATATAATGATTCGGAAAAAGAGGCAATAATTCCTCAGTAATTCAAGATCCTTACATGCACTGACTTAAAAATAAGATCTTATCACACAATGTAAAAAATTTGCTATATCTTTTCAATATTAAACATTGCTCTACTCAAAACTATAAACAGTTAAACACCCACCAACAAGGCCACTTATCCTGCAATGTGTTCACAATTTATATATGTAATTATAAGATATTTATCGATATACATACATGTATACTGGCAGATACTTTTTATAGATTTCATTTTTTTTTCTTGTGAGAACATAGCTGACTTTGTTTGAAGACGACAACTTCCACACTTATTAGGAAGTAAGTCAAGTTATATAATTCAGTATAAAACTATACATGTAAAGAGTCATACCACATCCTAAATATGCCTTGAATACTTCACCTACTCATAATTAAACTTCCGGCAGATTTTATGAGAAAACTATCTGTTGTACAATGCAGCATAATGTGGGATTTTGGGGGCAGAAATAGATGCAAATGTCTTCTTAGTGTAGTTTTTATGCTTAAATCAGCACACGTTCCCATAAATTTTGTCTCTAAGCCACATAATGAAGTTCAACACAGGTACTGTTGGATCTAGATTTCTTCAGGTCATATTTATTATTCTGTCAGAATGTAAAAGCATATTACATGTATGTACTGTATAAAATGATAAGTTAACCTTTTCTAAAAAAAAAATCTTCATTCATAAACAGTTGACCTAGAATACAATGAGCAACTTATTTTGGTAATTGTTTGTCTCAATTAAAAATATAATCAGCATATATAGCAAGTACACTGTATAAATAGATCAATACATTGCACTCGAATATTAAATTATATGCCATGATTTGATAATGGGAAATTTTGAGAAAATCTTTTATTTAAAAAAAATTTAAGTCTCAACACTCTCAGAATCGGTTAGGGACCCATTCCTTAATTATTCCATCAAACTAAATATGCATAAAGAATGTCAGACATATTTTTGGCATCTGATATTTTTATTTGCAGACATGCTGTAGCCTTGAATGGCGACCTTTACCAATGAAGGACACAGATGTCATAAGATCTCTTTTTCTTGTTAGTACAGTGTAGTATTAGAATTATTCTAAATGGCCACTTTCATTGCCTACAAAGGATTCCCCTATGATGAGGCCTTTAGATGCTTTTAGTTGAAGCTCATCATGCAAGCAATACTGTAACATTTGCAAGACATTAGCTGTTAAGAACTGCACATCACAGATTCAATCATTAATTAAACCACTAAGAGAGATTTTGACCATTTTGAGTAACAATTTTTGAATTATTCATCCCAATAACATCTGACCATGCTGCACACAATTATGCTACATAAAGATCCAGGTTTTTATTATGTTTTCAGTGACTGTCTTTGTTTGTTTGTTGTTTAATGTCTTTCTTGAGAATTTTTCAATTATATGAAGATGCCACCATTTGCCGGCAGAAAGCTGCAAATTTTGTCTTGTACTAGGCACTCAGGTCCATTGAGTAGGGAGGGATATTTTTCATGCTAGCACCTACTGCAACACGGGACCTCGGCTTATACAGTCACAGGTCTCATTCGAAAGACCGGTCCCCACATCCCACAGTGGGATTCGAACCTGTGATGTAAGGATCTACTCCTTACTTAACGACTCTTATAGAGAAGAACTAGATGCTCTAACCACTGCACCATGCGGGCGGCCATAGTGTTTGTAACAGGAATCTATTAACAGTTGGGACAAACTTTAAAAGTCACTAAAATGAAAGAATTCTTAAGCAGAGCACATTATCAAGCAGTCTGATTAAAATCAAACCTTCACTAGACTCTTTTTACTTTGATTTTATTTTGATTATCATGTGACAATCAAAAGAAAATGGAGTTTATGAAGGTCTGATTTTAACATGATTTATCAGACTGCACCTTAAGAGAAAAAAAATGAATTAATTTTTTAAATAATATTAAAAACATAAAATACCATTGTGATATCTGGAATTAATGATATATTAATGTCAAATCAATGACATTCCTAATTGTTCCAGATAATTAATAGATTTATCCATAATGACATAATCATCTTGAATTTATGACATATTAATGTCAAATATTTGTAGTTTGCATGTTCATGTTTTTTTAAAAAATGAAATAATGAGCTAATAACTTAGATATAATCATGCCTCAACTTCAAGTGTATATATATAGGTAAACACATTGACAAAGAATGATGTAACACTGCAAAATACCCTTTGCATCTCATCTCCATACTCCATATAAATAATTTAATTTTAGTTGTAACACATCACTTGATTAGGGTATATGATTTAGTATATATCGTATAATACAAGTTGCCTACATCACAATGAGTTATGTCTAAAACATATTACTTCACTTGATGTTACTTTTAAAATATACTCAATTGGAAGTCAAATTTGGAGGAAAATTTGCTGTATTATATTGTCTAAACTGAAATTTAATTATAAGGAATGATTGGGGCAGTTTACGCTTTTTTATACACCGCTTCTTGGTTATATTGTATAACATAGGTTAAAATAAGCTTCATTTCTTCTTAAATAATGAATTCCAGTTGATATGACTTAATGACCATGGAATAACTAGTAACATATGGATTGATATCAAAGTGAATACCGTGTTATACAGCCATAAAATGATTTACTGTTGTCAGGTTGTTAAATTCAAAGCTATCTAGCATGAGAGATGGATCTTTTTATTGTTTATTATCATCTTCTGACTACACACTAATCTTCATTCATGTGCTCTTGTTGACCCCTATCAGCTGTGAGAAAGGGCACGCACGCAGTAGAAGGACCAGGAAAAACTCAAATATTGATTCTGTCACTCTCTAGCAAACACAGACATAAACAATACTTGTCTTTAAATACACTACCATCTACTTGATTTTCCTCAAAACTAAGCCCTATAAATAAATAAAAGTCGCGAGGTCACTTTCAAAATGAACTTTCCGGAAGGCGCTGTGTTGAAAGGCAGGCGACCTTGCCATATTAATTGTTTGAAGCAGATATTTTGATTATCGTGTTTTATTATGCAGCTACTTAAAACCCAAATAAAGCAGCAATTATCTCAAATTGATTAAAAATACGACACTCACCTGTTTCGACTTCCTGCGCCATGTCATTATGATGTCACTCAAAACAAAAATCCGAGTTGTCAATATTTTGCATCCCGTTCTCGATCGAATTTCCATCAAGTTTTTGGCGCTAAATACAAAATTCTCATATATGGGACGAGTACAAAATTTGTATGTCCAAGTAATCGAAGATTCATGGTATATAGTTTTTATCCTGTCCGTCTGTCTGTCCGCTAAAGCTTTAGTAGTAGTATTTATTTAGTATCATGTCATCATACATAAAACAAATACACATAATTATACACAATCATATGAAAGACAAAAGTTGGCAACCCAGATTTCATAAATAAACAATTAAGGTAACAATATTTTTAGAAATATAATTTCAAGGTGGCTAGAATTGACACCAGGATAACCCATTAAATCTCGAGAGCTTATTTCCAATGGGGTCCTAACCTTTAACCTTGCCCATAACTTAAGTTAACCTTGCCACAATGAATACATTTGTGAAGTATGACATGAACTTTGAAGCATGAAGTTTGTGACAAATGAAATCTCTAACAACAGCTGTTCAAAAGTTATGACCAAGGTTAAAGTTTGGTATTTTTTTGTAAAAGGGGTCAAACCCCAAGGTCAAGAGGTCAAGGTTGATGGTACCTCAAAAAAGGTCTGTCACAAGGAATACACCAGTCCCTGTGAAATATGAAAATGATAGCCCCACCCAATCAAAAGTAATGGGCAAGATTTAAGTTTTTACGGACAAACAGTAACATTTAAAGACGTACATAGACGAACGGCAGACGATCTTTCTGCCTGTTTGCTCATAAAAACTATCACCTTCCCCATAACTTTAGAGTGGATGGGGCTATGGCATTTATATTTCACAGACGTATTTCTTGTTTCTTTGTGTACCACCAAATTTGACTTCTCGACCTTGTCCTTGCGTTGTGGCACACTTTTACCTTTGCCATAACTTTTGAACGGTTAGTGCCAGGGCTTTCATTCTGCACGTGTTACTTCACTGATTCAAGACCTTTCAATGGGTGTAAATATTTTACATCTTTTGACCTTGACCTTAGAGTTTGACCCTCTTTTAAATAACTTGAAATTTTGACATAACTTTTGAATAGATAGTATTAAGGCTTCTTTATTTCACGTGTATTCCTTGTGAAAAGACCTTCCTGTTGATACCAACAATTTTGACCTTTTGGCCTTGGCATGTCTTTAATTTTGCTCAAAACTTTAATCTTAAGCTTGCTCATAACCTTTGAGTGAGTGGGACCATGATTTTCATATTTCACAGGTGTATTCCTTGACAAGACATTACTTACCACCAAATTTGACCCCTTGATCTTGGAATGTGACACACTTTAAAAAAAAAAAAAAATCACATTTTAACCTTTGCCATAACTTTTGAACAGTTGGAGCTAAGGCATCCATACTTCACATGTTTATTCATTGTGACAAGATCTTTTAGTGATCGAGTATAAATAATTTTCACATTGACATTAGAGTTTGATCCACTTTTAAAAAACTTTTACCTCGGCCATCACTTTTGAACAGTTAGAACTAGGGTTTTGAATATTTCACAGGTGTTGACAAGATCTTCCTTTGGGTACCAAGACTTACAAGTGACCTTTTTACTTTGAACTTTGGAGTTTGATTTTCTGCTTTTTTCGAATTCGTAATTGTATATATACAGGAATGTTTGTTTATGGTTAACATTAAGAGATATATGTTTCAGTGTAAGAGATATCTCTCTGCTTATAAAAAGAGATATCTCACTAAGTATAAGATATATCTATCTAACTTTAAGAGATATCTCTTTCTTATAGAGATATCTCTTAAAAATAAGAGATATCTCTTTAAGTTGGGAGATATCTCTATTTCTTAAGAGATATCTTTCTAAAATGAGAGATATCTCTGTAATTTTAAGATTAATTTTATTTTCTGAATAAATAGCAAAAGGGCTTGCCATATTTATGTTTATCAACACAGTTTCAAAAAAGGGATTTATAGGGTTTTTTTGTTTACATAATACATATATTATTCTGGGTATGACATGCTCAGTCTTTTTTCTCATAACAACGAAATTATTCCAGAGCAGAGACTTTTCATGTTTCGCTTTCGTTTGAAAGGGGAGAATTCATTATTTTATTTTAAGGATCACTGGAAAAGATATATCTCTTTCATTAAGATAGATATCTCTTTAGCTTAGAAAGATATCTCTTTTTGAAAATCTAAAGGGCTAGATATCTCTCTAACTAAAAAAGATATCTCTTTTAACCTTGTAGAAGAGATATCTCTCTAGCTTATTAAGAATATTAGATATCGCTCTAAGTAAAAGAGATAACTCTCTTACAAAAAGAGTTGTCGCATATCTGCGGTGATTTTCTTTGATCTTTCTGTGATGATATATCCCATATCACATATGCTATCATACTTTCCACGCCCCTTCATATATCACTGCAGGAGGCAGAAATCAGGTCATGAGAAAACAACTGATTTTATCTCACAAGTTCATAACTACAGAAAAATGAACATGTTTTTAAGCTATTTCTTAGCCTTAAACTAATTAAAAATACATGTATTTAACTCAGTTGAAAGTTTCCATTCGTTCAAAAGATTAATCCATATTGAAAGTTACGGTAAAATCTCCAAACTTTATATCGTTTAACTCCTTGATATTTGTTTCTGTGATTTCATATTTGTCGAGTGTCTGGCTCAAAATAAATCGTCAAAATCTTCAAACTCAGTTAAAAAGTCAAAGTCAAATTCACTAAGAACGTCCGACATGTTGGAGAGCTAGCTTGAAATGAATCTTAAGTTCATGACACGCTGAATATTTTTTTTTTATTGAATTTTGACACTCTCAATGAAATTTAAGTCATCAGATGCGACAAGTTGCTTACATCATAGATTGCCTTGTACATGTACTATTGGTTATATCATTTTCATGGGGCGTGGATTTCCACGCCCCATGAAAACGATATAATCAATACTACTCGGCATCTATAATGTAGCCTATACATATCTCTTTGTTTAAAGAGATATCTCTCTAAGGTATAAAGATACCCCTATAAGTCAAAGAGATATCTCTATAAGCTAAAGAGATATCTCTCTATGATAAAGAGATATCTCTCTTATTGAAAGAAAATTTATATTTCACGAATAAATAGTAAAAGGACTTGCCATAGAATAAACTTCAATTCCCGGACGGCGCGGAAATCCTATAGCTAATAATATAAACGTCACATCACTACGAACTTAATGACCGCAGGTGCATATGCACATTGTATCATATGTCAGTTTAAGATTCAAATATTTGCTTTCGTATACTAGTATACAGGATTATTGAGATACTCAAGAACTTTACGTTTTGAGGAAGACGGTGAAGGAGAAATGAGTTCTAAGATTGTCTCAGATGAAGCAAAATATAAGCCTATTTATCAATTTTTACCATTCCAATATTACATTTATTACATGTAATAAAAAAATAAAAGCAAGCCAAGTTTTTTTTTTAATATACATAATTTCCTATATCGAAAAAAAAATCACCAATCTATTTCTGAAATGACAACATGTGTTTGTGAAACACCGGTGTCCCCGTATCGGCGTATGTCAACTCTTGACGAAGGTAAAAGTTTCTCAAACGCAAGTCAAACACCAAGGCCAAGGTAAAGAGATGGAAAAAAAATCCCAAAGGAAGGACTTGTCACAATAATTTTACCTGTGAATATGAAAACCAAGGTCAAGGTCAACAAATGAAATTAAAGGAACTGAGGAGAGGGCCTTGTTATTAGAAATATACATGTAAAATATTAGAGCCCTATAGCACAAACTGTTCAAAAGTTTTGACCAAGATTAAAGTTTGAAAAAATAAGCAAAAGTGGGTTAAACTCCAAGGTCAAGGTCAAAGATATTAAAACCCAAAGCAAGTATCTTGGACAAGGAATACACATGTGAAATAAGATTTATGAAAGTCCAATCAAATCAAAAGTTATGGGCAAAGATAATTTGTTTGCGGACAAACAGAGAGACGGACGGAGAGAGCATAAACTATATTCTCCCGAATCTTCGATTACGGAGGCTAAAATATATGTTTGCATGTATACATAATAACTATTGTGATTAATAAAAATAATTAACGATACCCCCACCCCACAGTTTCAATGGATGCATGTAAAAACTCTGATAATGTCTTTTTTGTGTTTTGTCATCATCAATTAAAATTAGATCCCCTCACACATATTCAAGTTGTTCCTTTATAAATTTATTGTATAAAAAGTGGATACCGGGGAAAATCGTTTATAATATACCATTTCAATAAGGAAGAAACATAAGCAAGAGTTATTGCCCTTTGCACAAGAAAGATTTTGTGACCCACAAGGATGGAATCTGTACTGTAAACATGTATTTTTTTTTCCACTCATAAAATGATTTGCTAGTGCGATTTCCATCACAAAATCGAAAGCTTATACAGGAGTATTGTAAATTACAGATACCTTATTATTATCTTGTATCTTGTATACAAGGACTTGAAGCAAAGGGGTGTATTGTTCCCTACAAAAATTTGAATTGTTCAATTTAAATTTGTATATGCAAATTTTAATTGAAAAATTCAAATTTTGTAGAGGACAGTATATTGCGATGGGATGTCTGTATGAACGTCCGTCCGAGTACATGTGTAACGCCTTATTTGCAACTCCTCTTATACCTGTAAATAAAATTTTATGTATTGAGACTCTCACAGAATCTTTGTAACATAGCGCCATTTGGCACCTCCTATTTTCCTTTCTGATCAGACACATATTTTGGGTTTCCCATAGCAAAACAATCTGATTAAAATCAGATCTTTGTTACGCTCCGAAATTCTGATGGTCGATGTACAAAGCGACCATCAGATCTGATTTTAATCAGATTGATAGCAAAACATATGGTCATTGCCATTCTTTCTATAATATGGAAGGGTATAAACATTTCTTATCCACAACTCCTCCTATACCACTGAATAAAATCATTAATACTTTCACAGATCTTTTATAACATAATGCCTTTGAGCATTTCCTATTTTATATTTTGATGTGACCCTCATTTCGGGTCTCCCAGAGCAAAAAATGGACTTTGCCATTATAATCATTTGGGAGGCGGGGGAAAGGGGTACCATTTAGTGAGTTAAATTCTCACAGTACCTCTAGTTTAACATACTGCAAAGAAAAGTAGGGTGTAATGTAGGGGAGGCAATCGACTTTTCAATGCTAGTAAAGTTAAACATTTTTCAAGAGAAAAAAAATATATTTGGAAAGACGGGGTGGGGGTGGTGGCCCTTCTAATACGCTCTATGTACAGTACCTGATATAAATGTACAAAATTATTTGTTTTTTAACTTTCAAATAAATTGATTTGTGTTTTCTTTTTAATCAGTATTCTGCCAGTTGTATAATATATGATATTACATTTCTAATAAAGAAATTCAAATAATTATGTATCAATGAAAATTACCTATACAGCTACTGAATTAAATTGACTTTTATGGACTTACAATTTAACGATTCAGATTTATGTGAACTGGATACTGGACAGTTACAAATATGTGTAACGTTACGCACTCATCCTTTCTTTCTGTATGATCATTTTAAGAATTCGAATTGAAATAAAACAGTTATATTTATGCTCATCTGATACATATTTTTTCTAGAAAAAGGAAAGCGGACGGAAGGACCAGTATGTTTATAGAATAAGATTGAAAAAAGGAAGTACATGCACCCTATAAGCAAATGCATTTAAATTGCCTCAGACGTTTTTGGATAAGATTATTGTCATACAAATGTCATGGTCGTAGGGGGGTGGGACGACATTTAGAATAAATATATATACATATGTTCTGTAGAAAACATAGCTACTATACGCTTGTCTCCCCTCAATAGTAACATTTGATTCTCCTCTCCTTCTCTAGGAATCTTGATTTTACCCCATCAATCGGGATTCCTGTTAATGTTTGATTGCCCCCCGCCCCCTCTCCTCCTCCCCATGCTTCCTATGGACCGTACGTGTTGTACACATAGGGGCTTCGTTGTCTTCCGGATTGTTAAATGTAAAATAAATTTTAAAAATTTTGAATCTTCTTTAAATACACTGAAAAGTTGTTAAAATAAAGATCCTGACACTTTCAGGCAAGAAAAAGACGTACATAAACTCTATAGTTATATTTTTTATATATTTATTTTACATTTAACAATCCGGAAGACAAACAACTATGGTTGTACATAAAATCATGTACGGAAATGTTGATCTAGTTCACATTAGATTTAGACTAAAACATGCAATAATAAAATAAATTTTACGTTCATTAATTAGAAAAGCATGCAAACCGTGGCAAAGCGGCATAGTTAAATTGGTATAAATAAATATCTAAAAGTTAGGAGGGGAGGGGGGGAGTCAAAATCACAGCGAGTTCATATCAGATATATTCCTTTTCTGGTTGAATTTACGGTTGAATTAGAATACATGCAAATTACATGACGCTTTTATTATTGCAAAAATCTTTTTCCACCAAATCTTTCGATGAAACCTCTGGAGTTATCTCCTTGTCCTAATGACGTCACGGGCACTAACAGGAAGTCGTCTAAATCGCCTTCGACATGGATCAACAGAATCCAACACGGTAACTGATGTCGAGAAGTGGAAATTAGAATCTTCTCTGGAGCAGAGGGTCGCACCAGACACCAAGGGATGCCTTTCTGGACGAGGGAGGATAGTTTAGAACGGTGATCTTTTTATTTCATTGATAATATGAGCATTTCTTAAGATTTGGACAATACCATTCGAAGTGAGGGGTCAAAAACAGCTGTGTTTGGTCGTTATGTATTGATTTCCATTTAATTAATGATTTTTCTCTACAAATCGATATTTTTAAATGTTTTTCTCTTGTATATCCGTTGCTTTTTCTTATAATGGATATCCAAGAAAATATTGGTTCACCGAGAAACCATGCGCTCCCTTGTTTATTGAATTTTGGCACATTCCAAATGTCAGACAATGGATCGAGTTTATTTCTTGTCATCAGCTGATGACTGTTGTTATAGTTTATACACAACAGTAGGAAATAACTTGTTCAGAAATGACAGACTTTAAGATATACCTAAATCTAATCAGACATTATGTAATTCCATTGCCTTTGTACACTGTTTTAATACACATGCCTGTGTCAAGGTATTGCACCATGTGTACTTTTACCAGTAGCTGTTTATGTATAACAAACATGTTTGTTGGAAATCAGACTACACAGCAGGAGTGGCATATCATTTTAAAAGATGGAAAAGACCTGCATGTTTACCACTTTTCCATTGCTGGGGATCTGTTTACTACGCTGAAAATGTTGGACAGTAAAGCAAAATTCATTTCACTGGCCATGTCATTATCTAAATATTAGTACAGCACAAAATATTAATTCTTTGTAACTGGGGACTATTTGTGTACATGTATTTATTCTGACAACACACAGTTAAAACATTTAGTTAAAAATGTGGTTATATATACTGAAAAACTAATACGTCTGTAGGAATTTAGGCTGGGTTTATTTGTTTCTCCTTTCCATATATTACACACCCCTCCCTAGGATATTTTGCCAATCCAGATTGGTTAAACCCAGTATTGATTAGTGATTATTGATAATTCATTCTAAAATGTGGCGTGTTATGCCATTTGTAACAGATTGCACATAGAATTTTTTTCATGTGTCAGTGGCTTCCCAATGGAATTACTTTTTATAGGACTTTTTGCTCTTAATTTTGATAACCATTGATTGATAATAATTTAATAGGCTTACATTCAAAGAAAAAAGTGTTAGTTTTTAGTCATGTACATGTACATACCTGGTAATTAAGAAAATACCACTCAGTAAAACATGTAGTAGAATATATATCAGATATTCAAATGTATAAAATAATGATGAAAGTCAGGCAACTGTATGCTTTTCTATGTATTTAATCAGTTTGAGAGTATGTTGTACATCTTTGGCACTCAGTTAGGTTTGATTGCGTGTGTCCAGATAGCTCTGATAGTTGGTAGAGCACCTGACTGGAGATTCAGGGGACCCAGGTTCAAATCCTGGTCTGGTCAGCTGGATTTTTCTCTTTTCCTTTAACATTTGGTGCCATGCCATGCCCTGGAAGTGACAGGCGAGAGGCCGGCCAGGGAAGAGCCTGGGTTGGGGTCTTTGGGGGATCGAAGACCTTTGAGAAGGGAGAAATGTGGCGGTCAGACAAATTCAATTGCCATGGCCAGATAACTCAGTTGGTAGAGCACCTGACTGGAGATACAGGGGCCTGGGTTTGATTCCCGGTCTGGTTGCATTTCTGAAATTTCTCTTCTCCTATTACACATCATAATACTTTAAAATTTGATACACATATCATTTTATAATTACCAAATAATTCTTAGATACAGTATAAAAAAAACTTGTGTAACTTAGAAAATTCAAAATATAATATTATAATTCATGTAACATGTTCTGCATGGATGCTATAGTAAATGTGTACTACATATGTTCTACAAGCACCCATGGTGCATAGAATGGGACATAAAATGAAATCCTCTTTCTAATAATTTTCATGTGTAAGACCCCTCCCCCCAGTTAGGCAGTTACAGGATCCACAATCATAAAAAAAACATGCTTTTTAAATCAAATGAAGTCCTGATAAAAAAATATGAAATCTAAATCCAAATTTATAGCAACAGATTTTGGGATAAATCCACTGATACAAATGTAAGAAAAGAGTTTCATAGTATTATCGAAGCTTTTAACTTCCTCAAATAAAATAAAAAAAAAAGAATAAGATCAGGAAATTATACTTGGGTTGAAAATTGTCTGACATTTTAGCTCACCTGAGCCTGGGTCATTTTTTCGGATTGAAATTTGTCTGTGATGATCATGTTGTTGTAAACTCTTTACAATTTGAATTTTCAGACTTTTATAAAGAGAACCACTTGGCCATTTTCAGTATAACTTGGCTCAGAGTATCCTTCAATGAAGGGAATTTAAATTTGTTCAAATAAAGAACCACACCTTCTGCCATGAGGATATAATTAAGAAAGAATAAAAAAAAATTGTTGGCCCATTTAAAAATCTTTCTTTTTGAAGATTTACTATGCCACTTGATCCCTGGGGTAGGGTCTGGGGCCACTGTCGGTTTTCAAAGTTTCTCACTGTTATTCATATAGGAAAAATCTTTTCAAGAATATCAATAAGAAAGTTATGATCAGTCATATTTACTTGGAAGCATCCATTAGAAGTGTTAAGATTCAAATTATGACCCCATGTTTGGGGTCACAGAAACACTATGGGCAATCAAAGTTTAACATATGATACATTAAAAAAAATCTTTGAAATTCTTGTCTTCAAGAAAAGGAAAACTGTAACTAATCATATTTATGGTATACAGGAGGAATGGAAGATTCTTCAGGTAGTGTAGATTCAAATTTGTTCTACTCGGGCTTCTGGTGAATCTATGATTTGCAATCAAAGTTTTACATGGGTATCCATATATGTAAGACTCCAGAGTCCAATGGTAATTATGCCAAAGTCAAATGGTTTAGCCAAAGTCTTATAGTTCTGAGGCAATCCCGAATGGTTCAGAATGAATGCCAAAGTCTGATGGTCATTCCAAAAAAGTCCAATGGCTCGTTCCAATGATGCAGAGAAACAGTGTTTATTATGACGTCACAATGATCCAATGTCAATCCTTAAGGCCATTGCCCAGGATTTAAGGTTCATTATGATCATTGTGATCTGCTAAAAAAGTTCTAATGAGCCATATATACCTCCAAAAAAATGTATGGAGTTGTATTTTCTTGTTATTTACTGAATATAACATATGAGCCTTGCTCTGAAACTCTGTGTAATAGCTTCAAAAGAATAAAATCAAATCATATATATTCTTTAAACTTTTTTGAAAATTATAATTTGAAGAGGGGAAATCAAATAGATCTTTAAATTACTGCTTCAAGGAAATTAAATAAACTTGTGAACTTGTGAAGTTTGCAATGCAATTTGTACATATATGTACAAATACATTTCATAACTGAACAAGTGCTATTACCGATAATTAAAGTTTATTTATGTTTACCTCTGGTGAGTTTATGCTACCTGTTCTGTAGATTTGCAATAATGGTATTAATGCAATAGGATTCAGATTTTTTAATGGCATTCAGTCAGTCTAGTTTGGCTTTCTGTTTAAGGAAGAACAGTTAACACTTAAAAAACTAAGTTCTGTAAGTATAAAAGTTATATCTTTATAGAGTCGGTTGATAATATAATATTACTTATAAAGTTGGTTATTATATTATATTACTAAAATAAAGTTCAGCATGGCCATTGTCTGATTGAACAATCTTAACTCTTTTTTCAAAGGTCTCCGAGAATAAGTGCTGACTTTGGTTGCTCCAATGGGCAAGTGTCAATCTTGCTGTGAGGCCAAAGGACCGACATCCGGTTCTCGGTACCACACCCCCTCAGATTACCGAGCCAGAGGCGGCCCTCGGAGTGTCAGCAAAGAACTAGAGACTACCAGCATCACCGTTCCCGTGATGGCGTCATCGCGATCGGTGCCCATGACGTCTGATCGGAAAATGTTCACACCTTATCCCAAACTGCCTCCGATTAAGAAACCCAGTAATGGAGAAAGCAAACGCTTGTCCTTTATTTCCCGTGATTTCTCAGAATCAAAAGTTCACGCTCTTTTTGAACAATATAAAGATGCCGTGGAGGATGCCATTTTGGCGGAAGGTGTGGAGGCATTTTGTTGTGATTTAGAGGTAAATCCTGATGACTTTATTGTTCTGGTGCTAGCCTGGAAATTTCAAGCAGAAATGATGTGTAGGTTTACAAGGGAGGAATTTCTACATGGTTGTAAATCCCTAAAGGTTGATTCAATTAAAGGAATCCAATCAAAATTCACAGAGTTGTTGACAGAAGTGCAAAATAAACAAACTTTTAAGGATCTTTATCGATGGACTTACAAGTTTGGCCTTGACGTAGAAACAGGACAGAGGACTTTACCCATAGAAATGGCCATCAGCCTTTGGAAACTTGTGTTTTCTCAAAATGAACCTAAACTTCTTAGCCGTTGGCTTGAGTTCTTGGAGGATCATCCAAGTATTCGAGGAATTCCGAGAGACACGTGGGATATGTACTTGAATTTTACGGAACAGGTTTCTGACGACTTGAGCACATATGATGACACAGAGGCCTGGCCTAGTCTGTTTGATGATTTTGTAGAATATGAAAATGATAGGCAAAATCAAAATGTCAAGATGATGTAAAACAGATAACACAGGGTCCCTTTGTCTATAAAAAATATATTTTGCTCTTTTATTTTGTTCATAAAATGAACATGTGCTTGTTTAGATTTTTAGAATGTGAAAAACTGTACAATGCCTGATTTTTTTCAATTTTTTTTTGTCATTATAAGCAGATGTTTTGAAAAACATTAATGTCCATGACATTTTATCACAGAAAAAGAGTGATTATAGTGTAGTTTGGTCATGGAACATGTTGAATACCCTAAAAGTGCATGGAAAACTTGATTCACAGTTCAAGTTGGTACACATATTTTTTCTGATGATAGTACTAGATTTGATTTTGCACCATTGATAGCCATTAAATCACAATTCAAGCCTCACCATCATTTTATAATAGTTCACTTACTCTGACAAACTTGTTGAACCTAGCTATTTTCTGTAACTAGATTTGACTGCAGCATCCCTGGCATTTTTGCTTGGCATTGAAGTTTGTTGTTTGTATTCACCACTCATTCAATTTATGTACTTGTTATTTTTTGTAGTTTTTTTGTACTGCCATGTTAAAGAACATTACATACATGTATGTAACATATACATGTACAGGCATATAAGTTTTTACAGTGTATATGAGAAAACTGACCTTTTGACGACATTGAATCTCATAATGTTCCAAGGTGCATCCCCCCTTCCCTGTCTTCACTTACATCTGTCTACATTTTTTGGGTTTAAAATCAACATGTACTAGGTTTATGAAATTCGATTAACAGAAACTAAAAAAAGAAAATACCATGACATTTTCTGCTGCGTTTGTCAATAGGTTTAGATTAGATTTGCAATTTTCTCAAATGCAGCCCCACCCAGATCATTAACAGAATATTTTTGTTTGTGGGCGATCGTACATTGGACTAATACTCATGGATGGATTTAGAATGTGTTGCTTAGATGTGTCATAATTTCACTTGTCATGTGAAAGCATGTGATCAGAACAATGTATTGATTAGTTTGTTCAAAGAACTAGAGTAACAGTATAGATAGCCTTAAATAGGGCCAGAGATCACAGAATATTGAAAAAGTTTTCGCGAGACAAACACCCAGTAATGTGTCAAGAACAGCAGATTTTTTTTTCGCATTGTTTGAAGAACAGTTTTATGGTTGGACGTAATGGCTGTGTAAAATCAATGCCGCTTGTTAATCTTTGAGGATAAATATTGGTTATTTTACACTTTGCTGGTATTTTTCCCTGATGGTTTTTAGAACTGTTTTGAAATTATGCCAGGTTTTTTTCCCCCTCAGACTCTTTGAAGTGTCTTGTACTGACTTAGTCTTGAATTTCACAACGTTATTAAAAATGTGAGCCATTGATTACAAATTTCGGAGAAAAATTCTGTTTGGATTCTTAAAGTCATATATGGCATATTTTTTTGTTCAGTTGAAAAGATCTTTCTATTTGTTTTGTTACGTGTTCTTTATAAAAGGATAGGACTTTCCTGTTAATTACACAATTTAAATCAGTTGTGTTTCATAGATATCTGAGATTTAAAACAGTAGCCATTTTTTTTCAGACTCTGTTTTTTGAATATCAGTCACAGTTTAAAGTCACTTTAATTATAGAAATTTGGGGATATTTAAGTTCAAAATTGGTGAAAAATTCAATTTGAATGTAAAGAGCAAATATGTAAATCTACACTTTATATCATATTTTTATTTTTTAGCTCAGATATTACGCCATATATAGCTTTAAAAAACATTTATAATACAATATTTTAAGGAAAAAAAGATGGGCCTCAATAATATTTGAAGTAATAACACAAGTGTAAATGAAACAAAGTATAAAGCAGTCATTGATATGACTTTGATGCTATATTTAGTTTCACATTTCAATTTACAGACAGTTGCAGCTACCTTTGACATTTTGAAAAAGTAGTGATCAGCAGCTATATTGTAATGATTCAGCTCTAAAGAATATACATGTAGATTGACACGCAACGAATGTTCTCTGATCTTAGTACCATGACAGTTGTTTCTATTTGTAGTTAGGTATAGTGTTGATAAGGTAATACTGTAAAATTGATGGACCTTTTTGTATTAGGCGAGGAGTCTTTGATTACTGAGTAATTAGTGAGTGGATATGGGAGATCTTTGTAGATCATTTGTGTGTTTTTAGCTAACCTGAGGTGAAAGCCCAAAGTGAGTTTTTCTGGTTAAAAGGTGACAGGTGTTCATGGGTTTTCTCTAAACTTTTCACTTTCTTACTTTCTCTCAAGAAGCACAGGGCCAGTATCAATCACACTTTACACAATACATCCTTATGGGTAAAAAGGATCTTAGTTTGTTTTAAAGGGTCATTTAGGGTCTCAAGAACCAGCAGGTATCGGAACATGTCAAAGAAGCTAGTTCTTTGGAAAATTTAGAGAACTAGAGTCTTGTACACCTCAGCTGAGGCAAATAAACGATGGTTTTCGATTCATAATTTTTTCGCGATATTAAACCAATCGTGAATGCTATCATTAGCTATTAAAACGTTTAAATGATTGTAAGAAATTTTCTTACTGCGTGAAATTAAAACCATCGCGATTGGAACTTTTTGATAAATCGGGTACGATTTACAGGAGGGAGCCACTCATTTAAACTATTTAATACTTAATTGATTACTGCTTTTCTCTAGCAAAATGCTCTGGCAAGCTGTGTGGACCTCAAGCCTCTTGTATATACCAATATTGAATCTGCATTGAAAGATGATCTTTGTTTAGTCATTTAACAGTGGTTTGAAAGTATTTCACAGAAGTATTTTTAAAATCATTTTCATAAATCAAATGTTTTCAAATAGCCTAGTTTAAAAAAAAAATTGAATGTAAATGTATAATTAGATTACCAAAAAGGTATAAGGATCAACTTAAAAACACCAGACCAACTTTTACTATATATTTAATCAATAAACATCTAGGCGATTGTATATAGTAGAAAGATTATGGCCCTTCACTGTATTTATTAAGTAATCAAGTTTGATTAGTGTGAATGTGGTATTATTTCAATTCCACCATTTCCGTCCAAAATCTTCTAGTCTGAGAGAAAAAAAACAACAACAAAGGAAGAAATTGAATAATGGAATCTATATGAAGGAAGTGAGAAAGATTTTATTGCTAAATATGAAAGTTAAGGTGACTTAAATATATCTTAAATTTCCTTTTCAGAAAACTTAAGGTACTCTGATCCTCAGCCAGGAAGGATAACTCTTGAATTTATTTAACTCATAAAGTCTCAAAATGAAGCTTGTAAAATAACGAAATCTTTGCATACAACAATTTTCATTTTATACCTTTCAATGTGCTTCAAGGTTCTTTGAAGTTCTCAGAAAGGTCTTATAAAAAGTCTAAATTTTTACCCCATAAAAGTATTTTAAAATTACATATTTAAAGAAATTGAGGTTATTTTTAATCTAACCATAGACACCAATGTTTATTAACATGATATGAAATTCAAAGTGATTAATGGTGTTTTGTAATGATAGAAAAATTTTTGTACACTATGTATTGTAAAATAATCAAAGTAAATGGAAGAAATGAAGTACTTTGTATAGATAGAAATTGTGCAATTTCTTCAAAAGCCTGGATACCTATGATTTTTATTTCTAAAATGTGTTTGTCAATCAAATTTGAATTGGAAAATGCATAGTAGGTGTTTTTATTTGCATTTCCTGAAGATTTATTTGAGATTTACCGATTTTTCCTATATAATATCATTAACTTTACAGATTAAGTTTGAAAAATTATGGGTAAAAGAATAAGAATTCAGGGACATTTTTGTGAGCATTTTCAATTAGTCAATGCCTAATTTTTAGAACCCGAGGACTGGAGTACCTTAATTTAGTTAATGTTTATTGATGTTCTGAAGAAAATAGTCCATGATGTCAGAGAGCATTTAATGTTTGTTGTTATGGTTAGATGAAAAATTCCTTGTTTTGACAGTTAATGGTTTTTCTATTTATGTGCTTTTTTTAGAGACCCAAAAGTTATCTTAAGGTCAAATCTTCCAAAAATAGCATCACTCAACAACCATTGTCTTATAAACACTGTAAGATCATTTGATGATAGACATGAATCAGGAGTATTGATTTATAAACAGGTGAAAGGGAGAAGGCAGGTATATCTTACCAATACTAGATTGTTGTTCTTCATTTTAGCCAACATAAAATCATGCAGAACAGCTCAAAAAATGCCAGCCTCATAATTGATTTTCTTGTGAGTTTTGTTTCTTGGCCCATTTTGAAAAGGCATTATTTTTGCGATAATTGTCATGGTTATTTGATATCAATGGTTGAAGGTTAGGTTCAGAATAAATCTTTCTGATACCTTGGTATTATGTAGCTACTAGGAAATGCCATCTTTAATCATAATTGTGTGTACCGGTGTGTGTTTTCGTGAAAATTTTAACATAATGGTGAAAGCATTATTGATCAACACTGAAAGAAAGTTTTTTTAAACAGTAGCTTCTTGTAAATCTATGATTTTTTTGTTGATATTATTTTGTTAGGTATTTACCAGAAATCTGGAAATTTTTGCTGTAGATAAATTTTTAGCAAATTTGCGAGTTCATTGCATTCGCAAAAATATTTTTCTTAAAAATAAATTACCAATAAGAAAATGTAAACAAAACAGTGGTAATTCGCAAAATTTTGAAACGTAAGAATTGATCAACACCATTTTGACCCTAATTCGCAAAATAAAATCGACGTAAAAATTTCCAGATTTACGGTACTACCTTACAATTGGGGATGATTTTACTGTATGAAATCAGCTAAGGAATAAGTCAGACCAATTTTTAAGTATTAAAACTATTGATTTGTGTTTGAAATCATACATTGAATTTTCATTGGAAGAGAAATATTTGCAAGGGTGTTAGTTATATATGAAGGAGTATGTATACATGTATATGCTATTTATTGATTATTTTATTGAAAGTAAATTTTGTGTTAGTGCTAACCATCATGACTATACAATCTAAAATTTATAAATTTAGTTTGGCAAGACAAAGTTTTCTCAAGGCCATTTTTCAAGTCTCTCCTAAAAATAAAGACTGGTGGCTTACATTTGTTTTGTCAGCATTTTAAATTAACATTTTATGCTGAAGTTAAAATGAAAACAGAAAAAAAGGCACATTGTACTGGAGAGAAAAAAAAAACCCTTAAAAGTAGGTAGAATGTTTGTGCTTTTATTGGACTTGATCACATTGTTGTTTGTGTTTTAATATGTGTGTATACATGTATGTTATTGCAATCTCATAGTTTTAGCCTGAATTTCCTCAGCTTAAAAGTCTGTACATTTGTGTAGCTGGACCAACCGTTGTGATATATATTTGCTTGCTTTTGGAATATAAAGTTTCTGTATATTTTTTCTATGTGATAATAACATGGCCAATACTAGTAAATGTGTACAGATTTAAGAGTATTATTAAAGAAAAAGCCATGCAATTGTGCAATATTGACAATTAAGAAACATCAAGTTAGCCCATAATGATTGTGTACAGACAAGAGTTTCATATGTTATAGATTTAGAAGAAAAATTGAAACACTTCTATGATTTTCATTGGCTTTAATTTAAGGGTACAGAGAATCATGTTTTTTTGTATGTTTTTGGAAGATTTGTAGTAATTGATATCAACAATTTCAAGCATCAAACAGTGATGGACTGTCAACAAACTGATTAGGTTTAGATTGAAGAAAACACATTTTAAAAATTGTGTTTTCAATTTACAAAATGTTTTCATCAACATATGAGAAGACACTGGAAGTATTTTATCATCAATTTTACATGATGTCAACCTTTATGAAAACTCTAGTCATTTGTTTGCACTTTAAAATGAGAGAACTTTTCATTCGTTCATACAATCATTATTGTAACGATATCACATCATGATTATTTTATGTGATGTTTAATCTTGTGTTTTACAGTAAATTCATACAAAAATTTGAATCTTTTTTCTATTTTTGTAATTTCTCTAAAGACTTTCTTGAGATGTATAATTTTCACACACAGGGAGGACAAGCGCACAAAAGGCAAATTGTGTGTTGGCTCTGGTCTCTGTTCTTTATCGATGATGACCTGATGGCACTATTTCCTTCTGAGGATGTTAGTGAATGTCTCAACTTTCACTCAATATTGCCATAAATATGAATTAGATAAAAATTAGTGCGCGAATGTCTGTCACTGCCATACAAATTAAAAAAAATAAAAGCCGAATCCGGAATACGTGTTCATATCTGCTAACCAAATGCTTAATTCCTCACAAACATCTTTCAAAAAAGATGATACGGAGGGCATTTTGACAAAATACTCACTTAGCTGCATTTGACAAAATCATCACCCAAACTGTGCGAACCGCCATGCATTGACAATATATCTGAGGACACAAAATAGGGAATATAATTACATGTAATTTACGAATGTTTTCATGGCGGTTAATGTCTTGTGTTGCCAGTTTACACATCATACATCTAGATATCTCGACTTGCTGAACGGATGCACGGATTGGCTTTTTACGATAAAATGTCAGAAAGATTGGAGGATGTAAATTTATAGTACAAATTTATGGTTGCATATCAACCAAAAATTTACAGGTCGATGCTTATTGGTGTCAATATGTACATCTGATGTAAGCAAATTGAATTCTAATGTTTCTGCATAAAATTATATTGATTCTGTTTAGGAAAGTACAGTGTTTGTTGATGCTAATATGACACATTTACTTTAGAAAAAGCTAATCATTTAATGATTAATTAAAATACTGGAAGTAAGAAAACCTAAGCACCAACCATTCAAGAGTTTTGACCAACGCTAAAAGGTCAAAGGATCAGAATTGTTGGCACCCAAGGAAAAGTCTTGTTTCAAGAAAAACTCGAGCACACGTGTGAAAAATAAGCCATAGCATTAACCATCAAAATAATTGCTAATTAAAAGGTGCAACAGTGTAAACGTTTTTAAAAGTTAGCTAAACTTCATGGTCAAAAAGTACAAATGATTGGTAACTAAGGAAAGGTCTTAATACAATGTCATGTATAATATGAGGACCCTAGCACTGCTGTTCAAAAGTTATATTGAAGAAAATTTTTTTTACATAGGGTCCAGTATCAAGGTCAGAAGTCAATAATATTTTCTACCAGTAATAAAATTGTAATTGTACCTGTTATGAAAGCCCTTAATTGTACCCACGTTTAAAAATTATGGCCAAGATTAAGGTTTGATTAAAAAAAAAAATACAAGAGTGGGTCAAACTGCAAGTTGAAGAGGTCAGATATGTTGGTATCTAATGAATGGTCTTTCACAAGGAATACACAAATATATGGACAAGATTAAAGTTTTTTTGCGGTCAGACAGCTAACAGACACTCATCTAGACAGCTAGACGGACAGTACAGAAATACATACTTCCGAATACTGGAGTATTCTGTTATTAAAATGGGTTCATCTTTGTCTCAAATGTTTCACAGAGAATTTTAAAACCAGATAAATAACCCATAAAATAATTTGCAAATAAAAATATATGTAAATTTGTATATTAGATATTCAATGGTACACTTAATAAGGTATTTTGACATTTTCGTACTAAGTACATGTATATATCTTTAATAATAAGGATTGCTGTATCAGTTGTTTGTCTTCCATGTGCAGATTATTTGTAATTTACAACACCTAAGATATATCTATATGTAATAAAGGTGATAAACGGCATCAATATCAATTCTGATAGGATGAAATTTACAGCATTCTTTTGTCAAGATAAGCCACAGCAACAGATTGAATGATATTATTTGCAATGGAATCTAATGTAATAGAAATGTAAAATATTTGTGACCTACCCCAGCTTTATCGATATTGTTTGAGAATAGGAAATTTTTTTCTTAATCATAAGATTTACAAGTACTCTGAGGTTGGTCCTAAAAAAAATAATATTGGAGTTTCTCATTGACAGCATCGGAGACAGGGTCTTTAAACAAATTGTTTGAATTTAGATGGGCACTAATGGTGCTTCTTTATTAGCTGACCTATTTTTACATTCCTATGAAGTAGAACTTATTCAAAAACTTTACACACGAGAACACATTTGTTTCTATTTGGATGTTTTACGGACTATGGACGATAAAAGACAATTAAAAACTAATAAATTGTATAAAAACAAGATAACTTTAACTTTGTCATCGTCAACTTTCCTTACTTATATATGTTTACATCCACTGAATATTTTCTCCTTTATTTCTTAAGAAAATCCATTGCGTGTATTTTTTCTGCAATAGCTGCTTCCGTTAATTCCAGTAATAAAAAACAAAGAAAGCATTTTATGGTTTAAATGAAATATTTGGAGACAACGAACAGTATTCAAGCTCAAAAGTCCATTAAATATACAAAATAGGAGCGGTGCAAACACGAACCTCCAAACAATCAGAAGTGGGATCAGATGCCATGGAGGAGTGCGCATCACCTGTCGACAGGTCACACACATTGTACTCCTTGTCATGATCGGGAAATAACGGAAAAAAAATACGTGGACAACTCAGTATGTAAAAAATGGCCTAACAATCAGAATGAATTAGTCAGTCATCATTTGACTTAATGATAAATTGTATTTGTTGGCAAGGTCATTGTATCGACCATAGAACTTACGAAATGATGCACTTTAAAAAAGACCGATGATATTCTTGCTTCCTCAACTTGTTTGTCAAAAACTTACCTCGTTTTAGAAATTGTTCAAACGTAGAGCATGAAACACCTTACTATGGTCTTTTTGTTTCCCACATTATAAGCTCTTCAAGAGTACTATCTGCCTGTTTGTCCGTAAAAACTTTAGCCTTGCTTAACCTTTGAGTGGGTGGGGCTATGGCTTTCATATTTCACAGGTATTTCCTTGTGACAAAACCTGTCTTTGAGTACCACCAAATCTAACCTTCTTTTACAAAATTCCCATCTTTTATCTTGGACATAAGTTTTGAACAGTTGTTGCTAGGAATTTCTTATCTCACATACATAATTTACATATATGTATTCAATACTAGTATTTCAAGACCTTTCAATGGGTATAAAATTTTTGACCTTGATTTTGGAGTTTGCCTTGCATTTAAAAAAAACTTTAAGTACCCTAGGCATAATCTGCCGTACGGGGACATCAGTGTTTTAAGAACAAAAAGAAAAAAAAGAATCGACAATTATGTAATATAAAATACACAATGCAAGTTTCTTTCCGACAAAGCCTCATATATATTTGCATAAAAAGGGAATTCCTATTTGTACATTTTTTGATTACGTAAAATCAAGCAAAGAATGTTACCAAAACCCTGTGATTTTGTTTTCAGAAAGGGGAAAATAGGTTGTATCTTTTATTTAAAAAAAATATAACCTTCTGTCTTACATGTATAACTTTGCAGTTGTCTTTCCTTGCTTGATTCTTAGAATTTGCCAAAATGGCGAAGGATATCAACATTTTCATTAGTTTTCAAGGTCCTTCTCTTTTAAAGTGCACACACAATTCTCTTACATTGCTGTAAATTCAAAAAGAAGTGTGACATGATTTTACTTTGCTTTCTTTGTAAAAGATACTAAATTCCTCTGCTGAGAAGTTAGATTTTATATTTATAGCTTATAACATGTATACAACTAATCAATAAAGAAAACACGCTCATGCACTTTAAGTATCTGGAACATCTTACTGGACTTTTGAAAGTGTCGTGAAAGTGCAATATGTGTTATCAGTTATCCAAATTACGTAATTAGACTATTAATATATAATTTAGAACATGGGGTATAAGACAATTTTTAGAACATTTCTTTTCCGATATAATATGTATATTTGTATCTTATCACCAAGAAAAAAAAGTAAGAACTTCGATGCTAAAACCAAGGAAAAGCAAAGCGGATTGTATCTGTTAAAAACTAAACACTGAAAATGAGTTGTGTATTTTTTAAATACGGTAAAGGTAAGTTATTAAATGCATATATGTACATGTTTGTTCATTCTCCACTGCTAATAAAGTAAAGATATGAGCAAACTTAAAAAAGTATTTAATGATATAGAAAATAAAGATACTTATTATTAATTTGTAATTGAACTACAACAATGATACGGTATATTTCGAATTCTGCGATACGTCTTCTAACGTTGGTAAGCAATTATATGTACCAAGGTCTCGGGGAGGTCTATAGTAATGACAATTTTCAGGTTTTCCATCTTCAACTTCTCTAATGTATGAAGTAATATTCCGACATGGCCTGTTTATGGTTATTGACCTCCCTCCTGCTTGATTGTATGTTGTCTGACTTGTTTTAACTTAATTTGATTTTGAGTTACTCTGTATACCTGATCAACCATAGGGGGTTCACAGCTGTTGTGACCGTCAACAGGGAATACATTCTCCTCCTGCGCACCTGGTCCTACCTTTGTTTTTTACATGATTACGGTTCTTTTTTAAAATATGCATATGGTGGCATATTTTTGCCTTTTCCATGCAAGATAAGTTATGTTAACTTGCAACATAATTATTTAAATATACACTTATTGATGTCAACATGCAACATATTAATTATGTCGACATGCAAGTTACCAATTTCTTTAGATATTTTCTTACTAACGGCATTATCTGAAACTAAACAAGCAAGATGCAACAGAAGTAGAATAACATGTGACTTAGTTATGTTAACATGTAAGATAATTATGTAGGCATGCGACCTACCTATGTCAACATGCAAGATAAATATGTTAAAATGCGAGTTTATAATGGCAACATGCAATATTTTTATGTTGACATACAATTTATAATCTTGCATGATGGCATCAATATCTTGGATGTTGAAATACGGGGTATATGCTGTATTTTGACATAAATAACACACATGTTGAGGAAAAATAAATGCTAACATAATAATATTCCAGGTTAAAATATAACTCGCATATCGACATGTATAAGTAATGATGGCATACACCCCCTT